TCGACAAGCAGAGGGTTTGCATAGTCGAGCCTGGAGGTGATGAAGGCATGAACAAGAGTTTCAGCGCCTGAGGGGTGAGGGAGTGGCGGAGTCGGGTGATGTTACAGAGGTGAGGGAAGGCAGAGCGGGTCATGGCTTGAATGTGGGGAAGAAAAGGCAGTTGAGCACACAGCACAGAGCACACAGCATAGCAGAGCACACAGCACAGAGCGCACAGCATAGCAGAGCACACAGCACAGAGTGCACAGCATAGCAGAGCACACAGCACAGAGCGCACAGCATAGCAGAGCACACAGCACAGAGTGCACAGCATAGCAGAGCACACAGCACAGAGCGCACAGCATAGCAGAGCACACAGCACAGAGTGCACAGCATAGCAGAGCACACAGCATAACAGAGCACACAGCATAACAAAGCACACAGCACAGAGCACACAGCATAGCAGACCACACAGCGTAGCAGAGCACACAGTAGAGTACATAACACAGCACAGAACTCATCCCAGAGAATTGCACATAGTGAATTTTTAATAAACTTTATGATGTAAAATCATTTCACAATCATCAGAGCAATTTGGGGACATGGGAAAATAGTTTCTTTTTCAAACAGTTTTTGACTGCATTTGTGCTGGGAAACTGCGAGCAGAGGGACAGGAATACTGTGCCATCACGTCAGCCCCGGACTGTAACCCCCTCAGAAGAGATTTGCTAATGATTACTGTGTAAACTTTAGTGTGGGGCGGAGGTGGGTGGTCAGAGAGCTGTCTAACAGGACAATGTAACACGATCAGTGTAACATTGTGTTTCGTCAAAGAATGTGATCAAGAGAGGACAGAGAGAGAGACCGAGAAACAGATAGACTTAGTCACAAAGCCAGAGAGAGACACACACACATACATGCTGAGGGACAGAGAGGAAGAGACGCACAGAGAGGAATAGCCTGGACAAAAGTCACACGATCACAAGAGATTTGGATGAAGGCCCTTCAACCCATTTATAATAATAATCCTTCCATTTGTCACAGCGCCTGATCATGTCTTTGAGACGTCTCAAAGCGCTTCACTGGCAATACTGTAAAGTTAATTGACTGTGTCCCACAAATAGTCATGGATTGAGTGACCAAATTTTATCCAATCGACTAACAACCGGGTTCCTACTTACTGCTAGATAAATAAAGGTGTGTGGAGTAAGGAAACTTGCCTAAGGTCTCACCCCGCCTGAGAATCGAACCTGGGTCCTCTCTTTTGCGAGGCGAAACCTCACCAGTTAACGGCAAACACAGGGGACGTTAAACCAACAAGCCGAAAAGGAAGAGAGGAAATGAGGTGCGTCCTGAACAAAAGTGAACGTTTCTGAATTTAGTTAAGTTAAAATGTTTTACACAAGAGAGAGAAAACACACTGCACTCACTGTAGGTTTTACATTCAGTGTTTAATTAAAGAGACAATTTCCATTGTTTAACAAAAGAACATCTTGTGAAGTGATTAAAATATGAGGATTAGAATCAACTTTGCCACAGAATTCAACTCTTATTAAAATCACCTTAAACCTGACAATCACAGAGCCGGGCTGACAGACACTTAACAAGCCTTCGAAAACATCCCCATTTCCTTACCAGCGCTTTACTGGGCAATCAAGAAGATGCCAAAAAGTTGCTCCTATCCTTTCCTTTGCCCCTTGACGTTTAAATTAAATACTCCCCGAGGGCAGACCACAGAAATACCAGGATTTTGCAAACGTTACACAGGTTAATAATGTTTTTGGTGCCTCACTGCCTGTCACGATTATAAATTCTGCTAATTTTTCTCTCGCTTAGAAAGGAACTGTGAGGTGAAGAAGGGGAAGGGGTATGGGAGGAGGGAAAAGATGGGTGGGATAGTCAGGGACACTTCTTTTCTCTGAAGTGATCCCAGATTCCATACCCTGTATGGTGGCTGTAAGGTTTCCTCACTGACAAACACTGTCGCCAGCTAAAACCTCACTCAAAACAAAAAGCAAAATACTTTTTTTTGCTGGAAATCTGAAATAAAAACAGGAGTCGCTGGGAACACACAGATCAGGAAGTATCTATGGAGATGAAAGGTCATCGACCTGAAATATTAACTCATTTTCCTCTCTCCATAGATGCTGCCTGACCTAAAATCTCGGGGAGAAGGTCCTCAGTCCCTTCATAGGTCTCTGTTATATCTGCCTCGATGGTGACAGAGTGGGAGCAGTGAGAACAGCGATCCGCAGCGAGGGCGAGAGGGAGAAATGTGACTGCTCATTCTTTTTTCAGCACTAATTGTTTAAAATAAACCGAGCCTTTGACACTCCTGGTGTTTGACTCCCTCCCCCCACCCCGATTGATTTTAAATAGTGTTCAGACAAAGCGTAGCTCTGAAGCCCGTTCCCGACACAGTCCATCATTCCCGAATCGGGATGTGGCAAAGCTGGGTGTGTATCCGCCAAATGGCAGCTCTTAGTCATCTCTTTCTCTCTCGGTTCAGACAAACTGCAGAGAGGCAAACAGGCTAACACCAACACATACAGGCACACACACACACACTTACACATATACAGTCTCACACTCAGACACCCACACACACAAGTCTCACAGACAGTCTCACACACACAGACACACACGCAGTCTCACACACACAGGCAGATGCACACAGACACAGAGTCTCACACACACATAGACACACACATACACAGACTCACACACAGTCTCACACATACATACACAAGCATACAGAGACAATCACACGCAGACATGCACACGTATCTCCACACAATCACACACAAATACAGATATACATACATACACACAATCACCACACAGACACAATCACACAGACAGACACAATCACAATCAGACACACAAAAACAGTTGTCGCTCTCTGACAACAACTTGTATGTATATCACTCCCTTCATGCTGGACGGTGTCTCAGAGCGATGACGACTATCGATGGGAATCCCATGAAATTTAGATGTGCGTCACTTCAAACAAAATTAGAGTGAAATCTAGTGCACAATTTGTCTCTTTCGTGCTTCTATATTTACTCGTACTCACAAACATACACACTCACACACTCAGGCACAAATATACTCACACACATATACACACTCACACACATACACACTGACATACATACACACAACCAGGCACAAATATACTCACACACACACATACACACTCACATATAAACACACACACACACACACTCTCACATACACCAGTGTAACTCACAGACAATTTAACCCTAACTCCAGCTGTGAATGAGTGTTCAGGTTACAGGATCACCAGGCTGTTCACGTTACCCATGACCTATTACCTGGTTCTAAGCGTTTAGTAGGTTATTTGTTTTGTTAGAAAAAGTAAAACCCTTTGATTTCCCGACAGACGTAAAACCAAATTAAACAAAGTGACTCCTCTCCCCGCCCCTTCACCAGGGAACTAGTGTTTTTATTGTTTAAGAGTAAAGTATTACTGCACGCACTCAGACCAGGTCTCAACATGAAGCAGCTCCACACAATCCAAGTTAGCTTCGTTTTAGGACACCAGAACAGGAGCGAACACACACACACACACATAAAAGACATGAGATATCTCAACAGTGTAGGGTGGTGAGTGTTTTATGTCTAGGAGCCTGAGGTGAGGCTATTTCACTGTGAACCCCAGTGAAAGTGACACTCATACACACTACACGCATCCAGGCACCCACTAACATGCACATGCACACTGACACACATACATCCACGCACACATACATAGGCAATGCTTAGTTAGTTCTCAGACATGGAATTTTAAGAGATGAGTTAAATATCTAAATAAATGAAATAAAGACCACAACTGAGAGAATATTGAGCCAGCGGCCACTGCAATCACCAGCTCAGCCTCTCACATAAACCTCTCCAATCATCGAGTCAGCACACACTAATAGGCCCGATCTCCTATGTCTTTGCTGTATCATTCTGTGTAATTCTATGAATAAGTACAGTCTGTAACTGCACGGGTGTCTGTGTTACTGTAATGTGTACCTACATGTAATGTTGTGTACGTCTATGAGTGTCTGTATGTGAGCGTCTGTGTGTTTGTGTGTGTGTGTATGTGAGCGTCTATGTGTGTGTATATGTGAGTGTGTGTGTATATGAGTGTGTATATATGTGAGTGTCTGTGTGTGTATGTGTGAGTGTCTGTGTGTGTGCATCTGTGTATGTATGTGTGTCTGTGTATGAGTGTCTGTGTGTGTGTGTATGTGTGAGTGTCTGTGTGTGTGCATCTGTGTATGTATGTGTGTCTGTGTATGAGTGTCTGTGTGTGTGTCTGTGTATGTATATGTGTCTGTGTGTGTGTATGAGTGTCTGTATGTGTGTATGAGTGCCTGTGTGTGTGTGTCTGTGGGTGTGTTTACGTGTACGTGTGTGTAAGTGTCTGTGTGTGTACGTGTGTGTCTGTCTGTGTGTGTTTGTGCACGTGTGTATGAGTGTATGTGTAAGTGTCTGTGTGCGTACATGTGTGTGTGTGTGTGTGTACGTGTACATGTGTGTGCAAATCCCTCAGACACACTTACTGCACAACCACCTTACACCAACAGTAAAGCAGCCTGAGTGAGCGCTTTGCCCCCTCAGTGTGGAGCTGTGGTGAGTGACTGAAATTGTCTCCCACCCAACGTGCTCTTGCTCACCTCTCACCACTGGACACCGACTGCCTCAACTCTCACTGCGGAGGGAGCAGCGGGACAAGGAGCTCTGGTAACTAGACAGGCAACAGACACCCCGACCGACACACACATACACAGACAGACACAACACACACATATATACATATACACACACAGACACACACATATATACACACACAGACACTCACACACATACATATACACACACAGACACAACACACACACACATACATATACACACACACATACATATACACACACAGACACAACACACACACATACATACTCACACATATATACATATAGACACACACGCAGATAAAACCTCTCCCCACCACCGCCCCTGCCCTCGTCTGTCATACATACACACACAGGCAATGCTGAGTTAGCTCTCAGACCACTCCTCACCCTCAGTCTACCGCCTCCACATCTGTCCCAGCCCCCTCCCCTCCCTCTCTCTCTCTAACACCCCCCCACTCCACTCCACAGCTGTCCCAGGCCCTGCCTGTGGGAAAGCGCCATCGAGTTTTAATTAGTTTAATTCGCTAAAAGAAAAAAAACAGTTACATCGTTTGCAAAAGCATTTCCTATGGAAAGTGATTTGTTTCTTTTTTTTTTGTAACCTTTTTTTTACTCCAAAGTCCACCTGAAGTTTAACTCCCATTCTGCAAATACCTGTCACCCTCTGCCCACTCACCCCCACTTTGCCCCTCTCTCCTCTGTCTCCTCTCCTCTCCCGCCCACCTGCCCGCCCGCGGCTGGCAGAGAACGGGCATGGATGTTATTCGGAGTCGTCGTCGCTGATGTCGTATGTTCGGCCGCAGGAGTCTGGCTGGGGGGAGGCGGGGGGGGACGTCTTTGAGAAGGGCCAGCGGAAGGTGGGTGAGGGGGAGCGCTCCCGGGTTGGGCTGCTGCTGGGGCTCTGCTTTGGGGTGATGGCTTGTAACATCCGTCCTTTGCCCTCTTTCAACATGTGTTTCTGCTCATCGGGGGGGAGGGAGGGAGAGAGGAAGTTGAGAGTCTTTAGTCACACACTGGGGCGCTGTGTGCCACACCGACCACTGACCTCCCCCCACCGCCCCCCCGCCGCTCGCATTGAGTGCACTGAGACAGTGATCAGGCATCAGTGATCAGTTTGCCACAATAGTGATCACCTCGTCACATTACAGCAGAGACTGTTATCACTCCCCCATCGTTCTCTCCCCCACTGGAGCTCTCCACGCTCACCCCATTCCCTGCTCTCCCCCCATGTTACATTTGCAGGGATGAGGCTCAACACAAGGGAAAAGGTTTGGCACTATCATGTGGCTGTGCGCACTATTACAGTCTGAAGGACAGTCCGCAGCGACTCCACACTGGGCCAGTGGGTAAACGTGCCCTGGTCAGTGCAGACTCAAGTCTCTGCTGTTATCTGACATTCTGATCACTATTGGGTGTGTTCACTGATACCTGATCACTATCTCAGTGCACTCACTGTCGATGTGCTCACTAGTGTGTGATCATTGTGTTCACTACAGTAGTGTGTGTGCTCACTATCACCACACACTTCACTGTCACAGTGCTCGCCCTCGCTCGTGTGACCTTTGTGCTCACTACAGCATAGTGCATTTACTGTAATGGCACATCCACCATCGCCTGGTGCTCACCGTTGCAGCGCGCCCTCTACTGCGCTCACTATCATGGAGCGCTCACCACAGTGGTGTGCTCACTATCGGGCTCACTCTCGCGCCGTGCTCACCAGGGCTCCCTCAGGGCCAAACATCTCCAGGAAGTTGCCGATGAATTCCCGGGATTTCTCCTCCCATTTCTGGATCAGGTCGATGCTTTTCTCCTCGACTTTCTGAACAAACTCCTTCGACTTTTCCTCCACATTCTTTACCTTCTGTTTCACTTTGTCAACTCGCTCCTGCAAGTGATACTTCTTTTCCTGCAGAGAGACAGAGAGAGGGTGAGTGGGAGGGAGGGAAGGGGTCAGAGAAAAGGGAGAGAATGAGAGAGAGAGAGGGAGGGAGAGAACGAGGGGAGACAGAAAGAGAGGGGGACAGAGAAAGAGACAACAACGGGGAGAGAGAAAGAGGGAGGGTGAGAGGGGGGAGAAAGAGAAACGGAGAGGGGGCAGAAAAAGAGAGGGGGTGAGAGAGAAAGAGAAACAGAGAGGGGGAGAGGGGGCAGGGACAGGGGGCAGACAAAGAGGGGAGGAGGGGGGTGAAGGGGAGACAGAGAAAGATTAGTCAACAGACAACAGGTGATAGGCACTGGAGAGCATAGGCAGGTGGGGGGTGCACTCACGTTGATGAAGCTGACGTTGAGTTCCTTGGCGGTGTAGCCACGCTGCAGGTTCCTGCGCACATACACGTCGTAATCCCTCACAATCCTGGTGATGATGTCAGACGTGGAGATACCCTCTGTCCTCTGGGTTGGTGCAAACATTCCTGTGGGTGAGCAAGGAACTGAGCTGAGGGTCTGACCACCACACCCAGCACACACCACCACACCCAGCACACACCACCACACCCAGCACACCCAGCACACACCACCACACACCACCACACCCAGCACACACCACCACACCCACCACACCCAGCACACAGCACACCCAGCACACACCACCACACCCAGCACACACCACCACACAGCACACACCACCACACCCAGCACACAGCACACCCAGCACACACCACCACACACCACACCCAGCACACACCACCACACCCAGCACACACCACCACACCCAGCACACACCACCACACAGCACACACCACCACACCCAGCACACACCACCACACACCACCACACCCAGCACACACCACCACACAGCACACACCACCACACAGCACACACCACCACACACCATACACAACCACACACCACCACACACAGCACACACCACCACACACACAATCACACACATACAGCACACCACCGCACACATACAGCACACACAAGACACAACACACACAACCACACACAGCACACACAACCACACCACACACCACCACACACATACTGCACACACCACCACACACACACAGGACACACCACACACAGCACACACACAGCGCAGACAGCACACGACCACACAGCACACACATAGCACACACCACACACAACCACACCATACACAGCACACACACACCGCCACCCCCCCCACATAGCATCCACCCCACACACACAGCCCGCGCCCCCTCCCCACCCCACACACAGCCCGCCCCCCCACCTCACTACCTGCTTCTTTGATGTGTTTGTAAACGTCGTCGCTGCCGGCCGAGGAGTAGGGGAGATCGTCGTGAGCCACAAAGTCAATCTACAGAGAACACGAGACTGGGCTAGAAACAGCGAGAGTGACTGCGGGCGTCAGGGAACGAGCCAGTACCGAGACCCCCACCATCACCCCCCACAACGCAACACTCCCCCCATACACACACACACACATACAGAGCACATTCCCTCCATACATAGCCCACCCCCAGCACGGAGACCCTCCCAACTCCCCCCCCACCCCCACACGGCACATTTCCCCCCACCACACACAGCCCCCCCCTCCCCCACCCCGGTGGTGTCACACACACCCTATGCCGCTGCAGGAACTCCGGGGACAGGGACCAGGGCGCGTTACGCAGCACCTCGTCCACATAGCGACAGTGACGCACTGCGTCGTAACGTTCAGCCTCGTTCATCACCGTGAAACCTTTACACTGGTGGGTCAGGTCATCGTTACACACTGTATCCAGACAGGAGACATTGTTCATCATTAATAATTAATAATCACTGACAATAAATAACTCCTCATCTGGCATTGACATTCGGCACATAAACTGATAACACATGAATGACGGGTATGTGTATGTGGGGGGGGGGGGGGGACTGTGTGTGTGCGCATGAGTGTATGTGCTGTGTGTTTGTGTGGGGGTGGGGGGGGGTGATGATGCGGGCCTGAGTATGTTTGTGTGTATGGGGGGGGGGGGGAGGGCCTGTGTGTGTGCTGTGTATGTGTGTGTGGGGGTGCTGTTTGCGTGCGCTGTGTGGCTGTGTATGTTTATGTGTGTGTGGGTTCTGTGCGCGCGCTGTGTTTGTGGTGGTGAGGGTACTGTGTGTGCGTGTGAGGGGGGGCTGTGTGTGTGCATCGTGTGTGCGCGCGCTGCGTATAATAATAATAATAATCCTTGCATTTGATATAGCACTTTTCACGTCGGGAGGACGTCCCAAAGCGCTTCACAGAACACACTGTAAAGTGAATTGACTGTATATTTGTGGGCAAACGCGGCAGCCAATTGCGTACAGCAATGTCCCACAAACAGTCGTAGATTAAAAATGACCAATTTATTATTGTTTTGGGTTTTGGAGGGATTATTATTAGGCTCTGTGTGGAGTAAGGAAACTTGCCCAAGGTTTCGCCCTCTGCCTGGGATTGAACTCAGGTCTCTCACTTGCAAAACGAGTGCTCTAACCACTGAGCTACGTGTGTGTAGTGGGGGGCGGCTGTGTATGTATGTGTGTGTGTGTGTGTATGTAGTGGGCTGTGTGTATGCAGAGATGGACAAAGGTATTTAATGCAATGTGTTGACAGTGCGCAGTTATGGAAAAGGGGGATTAAATCCGGGCTCCGTCACCGGAAACCTAACCGGAGGAGCTGAGAGTGAGGTCGGGTCAGAGCCACTGACCCAGGACTGAGTGACAGGCCAATCACAGCCACCGTGACAGGTTCTTTACTCCCATTCATCCTGGCCCCTTTACTCCCGGTTTTCAGTCGATTGGTGGATCACTTTTCTGGGGATAATAATTCCTCCAAAAAAAATAATTTGGTCACTCGATCCACCACTGTTTGTGAGACGCTGCTGTGCACAATCAGCTTCCGTGTTTTGCCCACAAATATACAGTCAATCCACTTTACAGTGTATCCTGTGAAGCGCTTTGAGACGTGTAGAAGCCGTGATAAGGCGCTGTATACAATGCGAGGATTATTATTATTTATTATCATCCCCTTTCACTCCGCGGCCTGTGATATTCCCAGAGCCGAAGCATTGCTGACCTCCCACGATGAGGTAGGTGTTGGGGAACAGCCCCTTGGCCTGCATCAGTGCCCGAGCGTGGCCTGAGTGGAACAGGTCGAAGATACCGTCTGCGTAAACTCTCACCGGCCGATCCACTGCACAGAGAGATTACAGTCAGTGCCCATCCCTCAAACAATCCCCCCCGACCAACCAACCCAACCCACCCCAAGACCCCTCCTCCCCGACCAACCCCTCCCACCCCAAACCCCCACCCCCACGACCAATCTCTCCCATCCTAACCCACCCCCGACCAAAACCCCTGACTGTCCAGCGCCTTGGGACATCCTCCCGACGTGAGAGGCCGGCGCTGTGTAAATGTAATTGTTGTTGTTGATACCCACGTGGCGTTCCCATCTGGGCTTCCTCCAGCGTTACCCGCTCGTACACCTTGTCATTCCTCACTCCATTCTCATCTCCAAACGGGGCTGGCTGGGACAGGGTCTGTAACCGTGAACAACACTTACTATTAACTGTTATCCCAGCTTGAGGCTCTGGTGTGGGGTGGAAGGGTCGGAAAGTGGGGGCTGTGTTGCCGCTGTCCTTCAGATGGGACATTAATACCCAGTTCCCATCTTCCTGTTTCTCTCTCACGCTGACCCAGCCAACAATCCTCCGATGACCTGGTTATTCACAATGTGGCTGTTATGCTGCGGGCAAAATGGCTGCTGAGTTTGCCTACAAAACAGTCACTACACCTGACAGTAAATGCACACAAAGTGCTCTGATGTTCTGATGTGATGAGAGGTGACAAAAAGGAGGTTAAGTCTTTCTTACAACATTCTGAGGGTTTGGCCAGCGTTGGTTGAGTGGTGATCGAATGGTGAGGAGGTGGTGGGGGGGGGGGGGGCGCACAGTGTGGACAGGTAGTGAAATACCCCATGGTAAACCCCCAGGTGGTTGATGAGGGCTGAGTTTGGGTTGGCCTCGGTGCTCAGGTTACGGAGGAGGGAACATTTTGGCAGGTTTCCGCTCCCGGTGGCTATCAGCAGGTGTGTGTAGCCACGGTGTGGACAGGAACGGACTCAGACTCCTTCCTCATTTCTGATGAAAGGTCATCGACCTGAAACATTAACTTAGTTTCCGTTCTCCATAGATGCTGCCTGACCTGCTGAGTGTTCCCAACCACTTCTGTCTTTATTTCACATTCTTTGGAGTTAGATAAAGGAGGTTTCACTGAGACTTTAAATATAAATCCTGTAGCTGAGTGGTTAGAGCAATCGCCTCGCAAGCGAGAGACCTGGGTTCGATTTCTGACAGGAGAAATTTCTTTCCTAAACACACCTCTGCGTATTTAGCAGTATGTAGGAACCCGGGTTGTTTGATGATTGGCGGATTTTCCAGGGTTAATAATCCCTCAAAAAATAAATCGTAACAATAATGCAGTCACTTAATCCACGACTGTTTGTGGGACGCTGCTGTGCGCAATTGGCTGCCGTGTTTCGCCCACAAAATACACAGTCAATTCAGTTTACAGTATATTCTGCGAAGCGCTTTGAGATGTCTCGACGACTTTATAAGGGGCTTTATCAAAATGCAAGGATTATAATAAACCAAACACAACCTTTAATAACCTGTCTCTCCACCTGCACTTCTGGAACTCCATCCCCCAATCACTCCGCCTTGGCCCTTCCTTAGCCTCCTTCAATTCCCGCCTCAAAACCCTCCTCTTCGACCACGCCATGGGTCACCCCCCTTCCCCTCCCCTCCCTTCTCCCCCGCCCAACTCCAGCTCGGGTCTGGAATGCTGTACACTATCCAGCGCCTTGGGACGTCCTCCCGACGCGAAAGGCGCTATACAAATGTAATCTTGTTGTTGTTGTTGTTCTTGATGGTCCCCTCCTCTCTCTCCTCCCCATCGCCTTTCTGTATCACTCGCCCCACTTGAAAGATGCTGTGGAAGTGCGTCTGTTCTTTAACTCTTACTTGATGACTTCTGACACTTGTCACAGGGAGCTATTTATAGCAATTATCTTGAAGACATGGAACTGGTTCCAATTCATTAGACTCTGCCCCGGGCACCATGATCAGAGAGTCTGAGCTTCACTCAGACAGATTTCCTGAGGAATTCTCATTGGGGCTAAATAACAACACTTGGCAAATAATAATAATCCTTGCAATTTGATATAGAGCCTTATCACATCGAAACGTCTCAAAGTACTTCACAGAATATACTTTAAAGTGGAGTGACTTTGTGTTTTGCTGGTGAAACGTTGCAGCCAGTTTGCACACAAAAATATCCCACAAATAGCCATGGAGTGAGTGATTGATTTTATTTGGGGGATTGTTGGCCAGGACACCGGGAGAGAGAGCGAGAGAGAAACTCCCTTCTCTTTTCAAATAGCGCCGGGGGATCTTTAATGTCCACCTGAACAGGCAGATGGGACAAAGTTTAACGTCTCATCCGAACGACGGCACCTCAGACAATGCAACAGCCCCCAGCACCGCACTGGAGCATCACGTTAGACTATGTGATTGAACCCACGTAGGGGCTTGATCTCACAACCTTCTGACACAGAGGTGAGAGAGAGCGCTACCACTGAGCCACATATTCCCCCCCACTGGCCTGAGCGGCAGTGAGCATGGCTATGTAATACTGACTGAAAACAAAGCCTTGTGGAGACAGTAATATCAGTGGGAATGTACGGTCCTACGCCTAGGACTAACAGCCTGACTGCCTGGAGCTGCCACAGTCTATGTCTTCACAACCCGACGCCCACCAACACTTTACTTCCCGGGAATTTTATTTTGCTGCCGGTTGAAGCCTCTGATTTACGTCAGTGTTGGTGACAGCGGCAATAACACCAGCTCCCAACACTCAGCAGTCTCTGGCCTTTATGTACAGTAAACTACTATTACTTCCTCACTCCGAGGGAAAAGGGGCTCAGTGATGAGTTTATCCTGTAGCTCAGTGGTTAGAGCACTCAACTTACAAGCCAGAGGACCCGGGTTCGATTCCCGGGCAGGGCAAATCTTAGGCAAGTTTCCTTACTCCACATGCCTCTGTTTGCCAGCAGTAAGTCGGAACCCGGTTGTTAGTCGATTGGCAGACCGCTTTCCAGAGGAAATAATCCCTCCCCCCAAAAAAGTGGTCACTCAATCTACAACTGTTTGTGGGACTCTGCTGTGCACAATTGGCTGCCAGGTTTCGCCCACAAAATATACAGTCAATTCACTTGCATTCTGTGAAGTGCTTTGAGACATCTGAATAAGGCGCTATTTCAAATGCAAACATTATTATCTGTTTGGTGACTTAGGCGTATGTAAATACATAAATAAATACCGCCGGGAAAATTGACAGCACAATGACTTAAGCAGCAGTGACAAGTTAAGGTGGAGTTACCAGGAGTCTATTGAAAAACTCTACACGAGTAACGACACACTGTCCTGACCGCGGCGTGTGTGTGAGGGGGGGGGGTGTGTGTGAACAGTGAGGGGTGTGTGTATGTGTGAGCAGTGAGGGGTGTGTGTGTGTGAGCAGTGAGGGGTATGTGTGTGTGAGCAGTGAGGGGTTGTGTGTATGTGTGAGCAGTGAGGGGGGGCATGTGAGCAGTGAGGGGGGGTGCATGTGAGCAGTGAGGGGGGTGTGCGCGTGTGAACAGTGAGGGGTTGTGTGTGAGCAGTGAGGGGTGTGTGTGTGAGCAGTGAGGGGGGTGTGTGTGTGAGCAGAGAGGGGTGTGTGCGAGCAGAGAGGGGTGTGTGCGAGCAGAGAGGGGTGTGTATGTGTGAGCAGTGAGGGGTGTGTGTGAGCAGAGGAGGGTGTGTGTGTGGGCAGAGGAGGGTGTGTGTGTGAGCAGTGAGGGGGGGTGCATGTGAGCAGTGAGGGGGTGTGCGTGTGTGAGCAGTGAGGGGTATGTGTGTGTGAGCAGTGAGGGGTTGTGTGTATGTGTGAGCAGTGAGGGGGGGCATGTGAGCAGTGAGGGGGGGCATGTGAGCAGTGAGGGGGGTGTGCGCGTGTGAACAGTGAGGGGGTTGTGTGTGAGCAGTGAGGGGGTGTGTGTGTGAGCAGTGAGGGGGGTGTGTGTGTGAGCAGAGAGGGGTGTGTGCGAGCAGAGAGGGGTGTGTGTGTGTGAGCAGAGAGGGGTGTGTGTGAGCAGAGGAGGGTGTGTGTGTGAGCAGAGGAGGGTGTGTGTGTGAGCAGTGAGGGGGGTGTGTGTGTGTGTGTGAGCAGTGAGGGGGGTGTGTGTGTGTGTGTGAGCAGTGAGGAGGGGGGGTGTGTGTGTGAGCAGTGAGGGGGGTGTGTGTGTGTGCGAGCAGTGAGGAGGGTATGTGTGTGTGTGAGCAGTGAGGAGGGGGGGTGTGTGTGTGAGCAGTGAGGGGTGTGTGTGTGTGTGTGTGAGCAGTGAGGAGGGTATGTGTGTGTGTGAGCAGTGAGGAGGGGGGGTGTGTGTGTGAGCAGTGAGGGGTGTGTGTGTGTGTGAGCAGTGAGGAAGGAGGGTATGTGTGTGTGTGAGCAGTGAGGAGGGGGTGTGTGTGTGTGTGAGCAGTGAGGGGGGTGCGTGTGTGTGAGCAGTGAGTAAGTGTGTGCGGATGGACACTCACAGGTCGGGGGAACTTGACTGGGGTCACGTCGGCCTCGATGTTGCCGTTGGGCCCCGCAAATTCCTTCTTCCGCTTCCGACAGCCGAGTTTGCAGACGCTTGGGGTGTCCATCCGTGCTGGGCCGGGGACCTGCAGCCGAGAGCGGACAGACAGAGTCTTACAGCACAGAAGGAGGCCATTCGCCCATTGTGTCTGTGCTAAAAAGATACCAACTAGTTCCCACTCCCCCGCTCTTTCCCAACTAATCCCACTTCCCCGCTCTTACCCCATTGGGCACCGAGTCACAGGACTGAGTGTGGATGCCCAACACCCGCCCAGCGTCCCGGAGCGCTTATATCGAGCTCCCGTCTGCGCCTGTTAAACGCACGTCAAAGCCCCCGAGAGATACTATTGTATAAGAGAAGGGAGTTTCTCCTGGTGACCATTCAGCTCCTGGTAAAAGCTTAATGGTCATTCGCCTCATGGACAGTTGCAGGATGTTTCCAGTGTAAATGGCTGCCTTGTTTACCTTCAAAATCACTCACTGAACCTGACAAGGAAAGAACTTTTGAGACATTTGTACGTGACGAGGCATTGTAAAGAGCAGAGTTCTTACTTTGTTACCTCTGTTACCAACTGACTGACTAGAACCAGCTGAGCTGGTGAGTTGCTGCCGGTAATCCAATTCACACACTGACAACTATGTGCCGTGGCTTTGGCTCAAAGGTTCGGAGTATCATATACACACACATAAGCCTGACAAACATTGCTTCACTCCCACAGCTTGCACTTGCACGCCAGCTGTTACCACGCATATCATATGAGTTAACGGCAAGCCAGCTCTGCGGGTGACAGAGTTTGAAGTGAAGATGTGCAGCCGGTCCATGGATTACCCTCGGAATGTATGTTTGGGAAATGCTAAACGCTAACACTCAGTGACATTCCATGAAGCATTGTGCTGACTCCACAACAACAACAATCTGAGCCAGGAACGTCCTAATGTCTCAAAGGGTTTAAAGCGAATCGTTGCCAAGTGCAGTGACTGGAGGCAAACACATTCATCAATTTTCACACAGCAATGTTCCACAAACAGCCCTGGAGCAATCAGCTAATTTCTCTGGAGGGAGGGGGAGCTGTAAATTAGGACACCAGGAGAACCTCTCTTCCCTTTTCCCCATAGCGTCTCAGGATCGTTATTGATGTACACGGAACAGGCAGACGGGACCTGGGTTTAAAGTCCGATCCGAAGGACGGCACCTCTGACATTGATTGCAGTGTGAGCTTGATTTCCTGAAATGCAGTTTGAACCCACAACCTTCTGTCCCAGAGACAGGGTTGTGACTGACTGAGCCAGGCTGCCATTCTCTGTGAAGGTCCGTGGGGGATAGCAGGTAGTAGGATAGTAGGTCGGAGAGGTAGGAGGGAGTCCACTGTGAAGGTCCACCTCCTTGCTCCACTTCTCACAGACATCATCAACCTGTCCGTCTCCTCTGGCTCTGTTCCCATTCCCCTAAAAACTGCCACCATCACTCCCACTTTGAAAAAAACCCTCCCTTGATGCGTCGCAGCTATCAAGCTACCGGCCCATCTCCAACCTCCCCTTCCTGTCCAAGGCCCTTGAAAGAGTTGTGGCCTCCGAGCTGCGCTCTTTCCTCTCCACCCATTCATTATTCGAACCCCTTCAGTCGGGTTTCCGTGCTGCCCATAGCACAGAAACCGCCCTGGTCAAGGTCACTAATAACATCCTGACCATCTGCAACCAGGGCTCCCTCGTCCTCCTTGACCTATCGGCCGCATTCGATACGGTCGACCACTCTATCCTCCTCCATCGCTGAAACACTGGTCCACGCCTTTGTCACCTCAAGGCTGGACTATGGGAACTCTCTCCTCGCGGCCTTCCCGGCCCTCCCTCCACACTGCAGGTCATTCGGAACTCTGCAGCTCGTGTACTGTCCCGCACCAGGCCTCGCGCCCACATCACTCCCACCCTCACCCTCGTTCGCCTCCACTGGCTCCCCATCCCCCAGAGGATCGAATTCAAGATCCTCATCCTCACCTACAAGGCCATTCACGGCCTTGCTCCCTCCTACCTCTCCGACCTACTATCCCCCTACCTACCTGTCCGTACCCTCCGTTCCTCTGGCTCCGGTCTGCTCCACATCCCCCGCCCCAACCACCCTACCATCGGTGGCCTTCAGCCTCTCAGCCCCGAGGCTCTGGAACTCCATCCCCAGTGCCTTCGCCGCTTCCTCCCTTTCCTCCTTCAAGGACGGTCTCAAGACCTTTCTCTTCGACCGTGCCTTCAGCTCCCCTCTCGACTCTCTACCCCCTCCTCGCCCCCTCCCCTAACCCTGACCATTTCCCCCCTCCTCGTTCCGTCCCTTCCCTCCCCTCACCCTGACCATTTCCCTCCTGCTCGGGTCCCAACCCAACTGTCCAGCGCCTTGGGACGTCCTCCTGACGTGAAATGCGCTCTATAAATGAAACCTTGTTGTTGTTGTTGTTATCAACCTGGTTCTAAATATTGAAAAATTTACACAAAACAAAGAGGGAGGTGAGCAGGTGAGCAGGGTGTGTCTCTCGGGGGGGGGGGGGGGGGGGGGGAGTGCGTGCACAAAGAGAAATTTCCATACCTACTTCCATACCTCTCAGTCTAGTCTAAAAACTCTTAAGCATGGCAATGGGTTTCCGTGGGGATCAGCCGACCTCTGACCAAACCCCCCCCACCATGTCATACTCTCAGTGTGGAATTTAGCTGCCCACGTTTAACAGTAAAATAAAAACAGATTTGACACAGCGACACTCAACATGTATAAGATCGTTTCATTTTTTCCGGAAAATTTAAGCGCACTGAGACGCTACCCCACAGAAGAGCGTTATATGATAATTCCTTCATAATAATACTAGGGGTGATAATGCCTTAAAAACAAATTTAGTCACTCAATCCATGACTGTTTGTGGGACGCTTCTGGCTGCCACGTTTCACCCATAAGATATACAGTCAATTCACTTTACAGAATATTCTATGAAGCGCTTTGAGACGTCACGAAGACGTGACAAGGTGCTATAGCAAATGCAAGGATTATTATTATTGCATAAACGCAAGTCGTTGTTGTAAGATCACATCCAATACAGAAACAATTTAGAACATGATTTAAGTCGGTCACTGACCCCCTCTGTGTTGAGTGTTGAGATGCGCGGCAGGACAATGTGCTGGTTTTAGCGCTTTAAGACTTTAAATCGAGGGCATTCCTGAGATTTCTGACTGCCCGAGGTGTGTCTGCGCAGACTGTAACACACAATGGGTGCTGAGCTCTTACAGTCCTGCATTCATGTGAAAATACAGCCATCTCAGCTTCACGGTCACATGAACCCTTCACTCACATCCCACTTCCCACTGGGGAGTGGCGTATTTCAGATGTTTATCAACTTGGGGATGGTGACAACAACAACTTATAGTGTCTTTCACATTGAGGGAATAATAATCCTGCATTTGATATATCGCCTTATTACATCACTGAGACGTCTCAAAGTGCTTCACAAAATATACGGTAAAGCGAATTGACTGTAAATTTTGTGGGCGAAACGCAGCAGCTAATTGCGCACAGAACTGAGAACACCTCAAGCCACTCTTTGCTGCTGGGGTGGGGGAGATCCTGGGGCAGAAGGATGGGCAATCATTCCCAGGGCAGAGAGAGGCTACGATGGGGAATCCTCCCCGGACAAGTGCTGCAATCCCAAGCCAGGAACCCAGCCACTTTCCAAAAATCTTATCAGCAAATCTGAAAACGCAAGGACAATAACCGTTCCTGACCCACTGGAACGGAACAAGTACATAATAAAAATAATAATTAATAATACATGTTCTGATTACATACTGGCGGGGGGGGGGGGGGGGGGGGGTGGGACTGGACTTTGAGCCATTTAATATTGCAATCGTGCAACTCGTTCCCAACTCATCCGTTATTCATGTTATTGCTTAAAATGAGGCGCGGCGAGAGGGGGGGCTGGGTGAGACAAGGGGGTTGCTGGTGGGGGGGAGGTGACTGGGGGAGAGGATGGGAGCTGCAGTGAAGTGAGGGGAAGGGAGGGGAGAGGGAGTGAGGAGAGGCGTAAAGGTCTTCCAGGGAGCGGTACGTCCGAAGGGAGGGTTTTCCCAGCAGCTGGTGGGACCCACACAGCGGGTAATTTGTGCTGAATGTTGGCGAGATGGAGAGAGGCTATGGCTGGTTCCTGTGCAGGAGATGGAACTGTGTGCGATGGGGGAAGAGATGCCTCGTGTGAAACAAGGCAGGAAAATGCACAGCTCTGCAGAGACCCACACGCTCCTGGGCCAAATGGGATAGTTCAGGACTCATCCTCCACTGGTCAGTGCTGTGGCCAGTCCTGGGGTCACGTGTAAATGTCTGATACTGGGATGTGAACGGGGAGGAGGAGGTAGGACAGTTTCGCTGGGATAAAGGAGGAAGCACTGAGACCCATTCATGTGTAGGGAACCACAGGTGTCAGTGCAACACAATGTTCGGGTGTGGTTGGGTTGGGAGAGGGAGAAATTCAACACACTCTGCAGCAAGCATTCACGCTTCAAAAATCTCTGGTATTGACAAGAGTGGTACGACCCAACCCTCCCCCCAGCAATCCAGCAATATAACCCCCAACGTTACAATCCAGCTGACTGTTACACACTGTTACACCCCATGTGTATGCCTCATTGTAATGTCTCCTACTCGTTCTTTCACAGCATCTCAAAATTTGTCCTTCCCTCGTCCCCCCACAATCCACAAAGTCCTGTTACCCCTGCTGCAACACAGCGTCACGAGGAAACTGCGGAGGAACTGAAACAAGCTGTCAGAGATGCCTTTGGCCTCCTCCCTCCATCCACGCGACAGAAGATGTTGCAACCCAAACGTGGCAACGGATCATTATCTGCCATAAAAATGATAGCGCTCACATACACACACTCACACAGATCCTCTCGCCTGTATTATCTAGGAAAGGCGTGACATCAAGCGCAAGGTTTATTTCCCTTAATAATAATAATCCTTGCCTTTGGCATAGCTCCTTATCACGTCATCAAGACATTTTCACCCACATTTTGTGGGTGAAACACGGCAGCCAAGTGGGCACATCAGTGTCCCGCAAATAGTCGTGGATTTCCGTGACCAAATTATTATTTTTTTGAAAAATATTTGAAGGATTCATTACCCCCAGAAAAGCGATCCATCAATCGACTAACCATTGGGTTCCTACTTGCTGCTAGGAAAAAAGAGGCGTGTGGAGTAAGGAAACTTGCGCAACATTTTGCCCTGCTCGGGAACTGAACCCAGGTCCTCTCGCTTGTGTGGAGAGTGCGCTCACCACTGAGCTCCAGGACTCCCTTGAGCTGCCTTTGATGCCACGCTTAGACGTTTGCTATTCTGGGCTTTTGAAAGCAGCACAACTTTCTGCTTTTAGGGCAACAGGAGCTCTAAATTAAACCCTTATCTTAAACACGTCCCCCTGGAAGCCCAGTGTCCTTTACATCGCGATGATCAGATTTTTAAAACAGCTTTTATATAAATGTGAATTGGCAATCCCAGGGTAAGGGCCCGCGTGGGGGGTAGATTCCCTGAGACAGCCCGGCTACACCAGGGCTTATTAGTGGCACATTTAACCACATTAAAGAGAACGAAATTCCACCAATCTCTAAAAGCTTCAAAGGCGAAGATCTGCTACCCCTCACTCACTGGCGTCTCTCGACAACCTCAATTGAAGCCACGATTAGGTCTCAGCCGTGCTGATCAGAGGCATCCTGGAAGCAGACGCCGGCTGTGTGGCCGCTGCTCTCTCGCTGGGGCTGAATAAGGCCAATGTTGGCTGTGGGGATCACTCCCTGATTGTGATGTCACAGCAGTGAGGGGGGAGGAAGAGGCCCGAGGATGGGGCGGGTTCTACACAAACTGGATCAGAAATCACACATACTCAGCCCCACAAGAAATTCATGGCAAAAGTCAAACCACAACCTTGCTCAAACTCTCTCTAGATCACTGCAAACAGTCTCACTCAGACTAAATATTTTACAGTTAAGTAATAACAATCCTTGTATTCGATATGGCCCTTTCACGACGGGAGGACAGATCAAAGAGCTTCTTCGCAGGATTAATTGTAAATTACAAAAATTGTTTTGTAAGCAAAACGTGGCAGCCAAATTGTTCACAATGCAAAGCCACATTGAGAAGGACTGATTAAACTGAGTGAAATACAGAGTCCTGTAGCATATTGGTTAGAGCAGTAGCCTAACAAGCGAGAGGAAACGGGTTCGATTCTCGGGCGGGCGAAATGTTGGGCAAATTTCCTTACTCCACACACACACTTGTTTACCTAGCAGTAAGTAGGAAGCCAGTTGTTAGTCGACTGGCAGATCGCTTTTCCAGGGGTAATAATCCCTTCAAAATCCCTTAACAAAATGTAGTCACTCAATCCAGGACTGGTTGGCTTTATACACCGCCCGCAACACCAACGTTGTCTCAAGGCACTATTTCAAACAATTTACCTAGAGTTTACATAAAGAGACACATTAATTAGTCAGTCATTCCCTTGCCTCATGGCTATTTGTGGCACTTGCACCCGCCCGCAAAAACATTAATAATAATAATCCTTGCATTTGATATAGCGCTTTTCACGTCTTCTAGACATATCAAAGTGCTTCACAGAATATGCTGTAAAGTGAATTGACTGTATATTTGTGGGCGAAATGCAGCAAACAATTGTGCACAGCAGCGTCTGTCCCACAAATAGTCGTGGATTGAAATGACCAATTTTTTTTTTTTTTTTGGGATTGATTATGATCAGACGTGTGGAGTAAGGAAACTTACTGCCACTAAAGTGAGTGCTCTAAATTTGTAATTTACAACCCAGGTCTCTCACTTGCAAAGTGAATGCTCTAACCACTGAGCTACATTCACTGAGGACATTCACCACATTTGGCAGCTGTCGAGAGTCATACGCGAGGTTACAACATGATATGATAGCGCACACAGGACTAACCCTTCCTCTCTGTAATGACGAGGGTTAAAGGGCATGAGCAGGTTACTCAGACTGAGGACCACACAGAGCCCCTCCTCGCCTACACACGTGCCCTTCACAGGAGTGACGGGCACGCGTGTAGGCACTTCACAGTGCGACTTGCAGATACCGAGTGAGAACCAACAAACACAGATCAGAGGAACTTCAACACGAGCCGTTCAGTGAACGCTGTCCACGGGACCCATCAACTCCAATCTCACTCCCCCTCGATCTTTCCCCACTTTTGTCCCATGTGGAAACTCATCACCGTGCTTCAGAGCATTCAGACCGAGCTTGAGAATTCCAAACTGCTTCCCACCCACACATGGAAATTCCCAAAACAAACATATAAAGTTCCAGAGGTAGATCGTGGGAATGGAATGCGACCTCTGCCCCCGGAGGGACACAACCTGCTCCCCTAACCCGGAGAGGGTCGAGCGCAGGTTGGCGAGAGCCAAGGCTGGGGGGGAGCCCAGAGCGTGTGTGGGGGGGACTGCTGGAGTCTAACCAGCTAAACCCACACTGTCTGGCCAAGCCTTCCCGCTGCTTGCCCAGCGAGGACCACCCTCCCCGTTAGGGCTTTGGCTGAGGGTTACCAGGAGCTGAGCCCCCAGTGACTGGTCGGCCCTTCCAGGTCCTGCCGACGAGCCGGGACGGGCTGTGCTGCCATCAGCAGTCAATACTGCTGGAATACTGCGGCCCCTCCTGGCTCGGGAACCGGATTACAGACCGTCACGGGGGGGGGGGGGGGGGGGCGCTCCATTCCGTTGCCAAACATGGCTCCTTGGAGCCAGTTCTGCCCCCTCCCCCCCCCCCCGGGAAGATAGTCATCTCTCCCCATTTCCTGACAGTGGAAGGTGACAGAACACGACCCGCCCACAGCATCAGTTCCATGTTCAGTCTCGGGGACCGGGGTCTCGGGTCTCGGGGGCGCGGGGTCTCGGGGACCGGGGGCGCGGGGTCTCGGGGGTGCGGGGTCTCGGGGCCGAGGCTGGCGGCCGGGGGCCGGGGTCTCGGGGCGCGGGGTGCCGGGGGCGCGGGGTCTCGGGGACCGGGGGCGCGGGGTCTCGGGTCTCGGGGGCCGGGGGCGCGGGTGGGGCCGGGGGCGCGGGGTCTCGGGGCCGGGGGCGCGGGGTCTCCGGGGCGCGGGGTCCGGGGGGCGGGGCCGGGGGCGCGGGGTGCCGGGGGCGCGGGGTCTCGGGGGCGCGGGGTGCCGGGGCCGCTGCTCACCTGTCTCCGCTCCTCGATGGTCTTTTCCCCCCGGACTCTGAGGCGGACCCGCCGGAACCGGAAACGCGACACACGGAAAACCCGCGCCGCGCACAAAGGTTCCGGCCCTACAGGGCGGGGCTGATACCCAGCGGGAGGGGGCGGGGCTAGAGCGAGGGGCGGGGCTAGAGAACCCCAGCTTCTCTTCACTGTTAGAAGTGTAATCTCTCCGCTCTCCTCTCGATGCTCGCAGTGTATTTGAGAAGCGTTTCAGGATGTTCATCCAACACTGAATCCCCGAGTGTCTGTGGGGCGCTGCCGTGCTCAAAGCTGACTACCCGCAAAATACAAGCGCTTTGAGACGTCTTTATGACTTAAGGCGCTATATCCAAATCAAAGAGGCTTAACATGAAAGGCTTAATGGAAGTGCAAGCTGTTGCTTGTGTACAGAAAGGATACTGTTTGGGGAGGCAGGAACCGACTCTCTCTATCTGGTAAGAGGCAGTCACCTCCTAGGAGACACGGGGATATTGCCCCCTCTCTTGCATCCTTCAAAATCCATCTCAAAACCCTCCTCTTCGACCGTGCCTTCGGTCACCCTCCTCCTCCCCCTGCCCTCCACCCTCCCCGATCCCCAGCTCAGGTCCAAAACACTGATTGTCGAGCGCCTTGGGAAGTCCTCCCGACGTGAAAGGCGCTATACAAATGTAATTGTGCTGTTGTATACATAGGACTGCTCTTGAAAGGCTCTTGAATGATAACTGTGGCCACAAATAAGTGGGACAACAATTTACCAAATGAAAGAAAATAAAGTTTATTTCCTCATTGTTCATTACTTCCTATTCCCAATCACGACAACTGCGCTCTGGTTTACAACTCGCTCTATGTACAAAACCGTAGAAAATATTTATATACAGCAGCACTGGCTTGGATTACATCCTCCGAAGGCTGTTAATAGTAGTAAATGCCAAATGCAGCAGCAACACAGAACAGGCTCTCCTGAAATCAAAACCAATAACTGCATTAATAACAGTAGGACAGGGCATGTAATGGACACAACGGTTCAATTGGCAGTAAGCACCAATGATGTAGGAATGATTCAGATCAGTTAGGCCAACATCCAAACTATCCTGTGATCTTGTGCTTTATCAGTTACCCCCTCCTTGACCCTGTCTACTGGCACCTTTCCAACCCTTCCGAACCCCCATAAAACAACCGTCATCACCTCTATCCTCAAAAAACCTTCCCTGCACCCATCCCTGCTCTCTGCCTCCATCCTTTGGAACTCCTTCCCACAGTCCCTTTGCCTTGCTCTCTCCCTTGCCTCCTTCCAGACATGTCTCAAGACCCTCCTCTTTGATCTCACCATCAGCCACCCTCCTGCCCCACCAATCCCAACCCCCAGCTTGGGTCTAAATTCAGTGTCTTGGACGTCCTCCCCACCTGAAAGGCACTGTGTAAATGTAATGTGTTGTTGCACACAGCACATATTACAAGCAGATATAGAATTATTACATGTGAGCATGCACACACACACACACTTACAGAATTACTACATTCACAGGTATCAGACATGTAAAAACACACATGTGGTCTGGAGTGTCATTTTCATAAAAGTAGACACCTGACCTGGGGGGCATATGTTATAATTATTCATCCAACAAACCCAGATGTTGGCAAATTTTCAGAGCAAGAATTTTTTTTTTCTTTTAAAAGGATTTTATTCAACAAAATATGCCCTCGAAGGCATAACCATTGTTATTATACTTACATTCATATAAACCTCCTGAGCAAAGTTATCTGTATCAGCATCCCAGAAACATCGTGCTACCATCCTGAAAGACATGGAGAGTAAGTTATAAAAAACTCATTGTGAATCAGTGGTGATCAGCTAATAATCCTTTCCCCTGCCAATTCTACTATTATATTGAATCAGTATTACAACAATAACAAATTACATTTGTATATCCCCTTTCACGTCAGGAGGATGTCCCAAAGCGCTGGTAATCCATGCCTGCTCCACGTTTTAATTCCGTGTACCCATCTTTTCTCCACATGTTTTAATATCCTTTACTGGGTTTATTGCAGACATTTGAACTCACTTTTTGACTTTCTTTCAAAATCTCTTCACCTTGTTTCCCATCACTCTATCTTCAAAATCCTCCTAAAAATTATCTTTTCAGCTATCGGACTTTGGTCAATATCCTCGATTCTCTTTATAACGTGCAAGTTGTGCTGAATTTCCATTTCATGGATCATATTTAGAATTTAGAAACCCACTGAGACAATGGAACACGATAAGCACACTGAAGGCCTTCAAAAGAACACCCCATAACCTGATAATAATAATAATCCTTGCATTTCATACAGCGTCTTATCACGTCTTCGTGACGTCTCAAAGCGCTTCACAGAATACACTGTAAAGTTAATTGACTGTACATTTTGTGGGCGAAACGCGGCAGCCAATTGCGTACATCAGCGTCCCACAAAGAGTCGTGGATTGAGTGATCAATTTCTTTTAGCTTTTATTTTTGAGATTTCTGTTGATGAACATCAGCAATCAAAAAAGCAGAGTTAGAAATTGTCAGATGATTGCTTAAAAGAGAAAGTTAGTACATTTTGAAATAAGTGTGGTTCCTGCTGACCCACAGAGACTCCCTGACAGGATCAGAGGTCAGCTACCAAATCAACAACAACAACAACAACAACAAGATTCCATTTATAGAGCGCCTTTCACGTCAGGAGGACGTCCCAAGGCGCTGCACAGTTGGGTCATGACCCGAGCAGGGGGGAAATGGTCAGGGTGAGGGGAGGGAAGGGAGGGAGAGAGGAGGGGGGAAATGGTCAGGGTGAGGGGAGGGAAGGGAGGGAGCGAGGAGGAGGAAGAGAGTCGAGAGGGGAGCTGAAGGCTCGGTCAAAGAGAAAGGTTTTGAGACCGGCCTTGAAGGAGGAAAGGGAGGAAGCGGCGAAGGCACTGGGGGATGGAGTTCCAGAGCCTGGGGGCTGAGAGGCTGAAGGCCCGACCACCGATAGTAGGGCGGTTGGGGCGGGGGACGTGGAGCAGACCGGAGCCAGAGGAACGGAGGGTACGGGCAGGTAGGTAGGGGGATAGTAGGTTGGAGAGGTAGGAGGGAGCAAGGCCGTGAATGGCCTTGTAGGTGAGGATGAGGATCTTGAAATCAATCCTCTGGGGGATGGGGAGCCAGTGGAGGCGAGCGAGGGTAGGAGTGATGTGGTCCCGAAGCCTGGTGCGGGACAGTACACGAGCTGCAGAGTTCTGAATGACCTGCAGCTTGTGGAGGGAGGTGGCGGGAAGGCCGGCGAGGAGAGAGTTCCCATAGTCCAGCCTTGAGGTGACAAAGGCGTGAACCAGGGTTTCAGCAGCGTGAGGGGTGAGGTAGTGCCGTAATCTGGCGATATTCCGGAGGTGATGGAAGGCGGTGCCAGTTGTGGTGCGGATGTGAGGGAGAAAGGACAGCTCAGGGTCGAACAAAACGCCGAGGTTCCTGACTGGCTTTGAGAGGTGGAGAGTGCAGCCTTGGATGCTGATGGTGTCAGCGCCTGAGGTGCGGAGGCGCTGACGTGAGCCAATCAGGAGGGCCTCGGTTTTTCGCACGTTGAGCTGAAGAAAGTTGTCTCTCGTCCAGGACTCGATGTCGGACAGGCAGGCTGTCAGGACATCGGTGGTCGTGGAGTTGAGAGTAGAGGAGGAAAGGTAGAGTTGGGTGTCATCCGCATACATGTGGAAGTTAACCCCATGTTTGCGGATGATGTCACCGAGGGGGAGCATATAGAGGGTGAAGAGGAGGGGACCGAGGACAGAGCCCTGAGGGACACCACATGAGACAGTACGGGGGGTGGAGGAGAAGCCATTCGTTGAGACGAAGTGAAGACGGTGGGAAAGGTAAGAGCTAAACCATTCAAGGACAGTGCCTTGAAGGTTGAGGTGGGAGGACAAGCGGTGGAGTAGGATAGCGTGGTCGACCGTATCGAATGCTGCCGATAGGTCAAGGAGGACGAGGAGACAGAGGGAGCCCTGTCACATGCAGACAGTAATTGTGCAGAGCGAGCGACCACTTGGGTGAGAAAGGGCAAGGTGATGTATGGGACCGTGCCCCAAGGGAAGGGAAAAGGATTCAAGACTCTTTCAAGAAAGACGCAAACAAATCCACCTGCATGTCAAGCATCAGGAATCACCACTTACTTCACTCCTTCACCCCGCTGCTCCCCAAGGACCACCTGCACCACCACTTTGTATCTGTCAAAATCCATTTCTGTGTGAACAGTAGACAAAGTAGATGGCTCATCCACAATAATAATAATCTTAATAATCCTTGTATTTGATATACAGCAACACAATTACATGTCTATAGCGTCTTTCACATCGAGAGAACATCCCAAGGCACTGAACAGTCAGAGTTTCGGACCCGAACTGGGGGTCGGGATCGGGGAGGGTGAAAGGCAGTGGGGGAAGCAGAGTGATTGAAGACAGTCGAAGAGGTGGGTCTTGAAGGAGGCAAGGGAGGGGGCGAGTGGGAGAGACTGCGGGATGGAGTTCCAGAAGGTGGCAGCAGATTGGCTGAAGGTCCGCCCGCCAATGGGGCATGTGAAGCAGGCCAGAGCCTGCTGAGTGGAGGAAACAAGCAGGATGGTAGGGGATTAGGAGGTCGCGGAGGTAAGGGGGAGCAAGCCCATGGAGGCTTTGAAGGTGAGGACCAGGATCTTGAACTGTATCCTCTGTGTGATGGGAAGCCTGTGACGTCAGGCGAGGATGGGGTTGATAGAGTCACGGAGCCTGGTGCGGGAAAGGACATGGGCTTCAGAGTTCTGGATGATCTGCAGCCTGTGGAGGGAGACATTGGGGAGGCTGACAAGCAATGAGCTTGCATAATCAAGCCTCGATGTGATGAAAACGTGTATGAGGGTTTTGGCGGCCTGCGGTGTGACACAGCGGCAGAGTCGGGCGATGTTGTGGAAGTGGGGGAAAGCAGAGCGGGTCATGGCACAGATGTGGGGTAGAAAGGATAGTTGAGGGTCAAACAAGACTCTCATCCAGGACTCGATGTCTGACAGGCATTCTGTCAGGACAGCAGTGATCCTGGAATCAAGGGTGGAGGCAGAGAGGTAGAGTTGGGTGTCATCCACATACATGTGGAAGTTGACTCCATTTCTGTGGATGACGTCACCAAGAGGGCGCATATAGATATTGAAGAGGAGGGGACCAAGGACAGAGCCTTGAGGAACACCGCACAAGCTGGTGCGGGGGCTAGAGAAGCCGTTCGTGGATATGAAGTGGAGGCAGTGGGAGAGATACAATCTGAACCAGTCAAGGACTGAGCTGTGAAGGTTGAGGTGAGAGGAGATGGAGTGGACGAGGATAGAGTGGTCGACAGTGTCGAAGGCAGCAGAGAGGTCAAGGAGGACGAGGAAGCAGAGGGAGCCCTGGTCACAGATGGACAGAATGTCATTTGTCACTTTGGCCAGGGCTGTTTCTGTTCTGTGGGCGGCACGGAAACCCGATTGGAGGGGTTCATAAAAAGAGTGGCTGGAGAGGAAGGAGCGAAGCAAACAACTCGTTCCAAGACCTTGGAGAGGGAAGGGAGGTTGGAGATGGAGCAGTAGTTTCAGTGTCCCACAACCTATCATGGATTGAGTGACCAATTTATTATTATTTTTGGCAGGGAGGAAATGATGAAAACTGAGCAGATATTTTCGGAATACAGTATATAGTTTGGGACATGACATGTCAAGCGACTGCCAGGATGGTGGAAGGTGAACTGGATGGACTTTGGTCTTCTTTCACCAAGCAAAATCAACAAAATTACATTTTTATAGTGCCTTTCACATCAGGAGGCAAATGCTTATCTTCGTGTGATTTCACTGACTCTTGATTTCAAGTTTCTCATCAACTTCTAAAAGTTTGGGCTTTATTTCGACACCTAAGCTGACACTTTATTTTATTTGACACTTTGAATAAACCTTGTGACATCTTACACACGCACGCAAGCACGACACAATCATCAGGCTCTGTGCTTGGTCACCAACATTTAACATCCCAATATGAATGGTTCAGCAAATGAACAGAAACAAACATCAAACATTTACATTGGCTACTCTTTACTCCAGAAAACAAATTCCTTTGCCTGGGTTTGTGAACCCCCAGTTTATGTGACCACACTCCTATTCCGTGTCTCAATGGAACCCAAAAGGCTCTTGCACTGCGCTTAACAGAGGGAGCCCAATTGATCTTATTTTGTACCTTTCACTTCATCCTTTATAGTTTCTGCAATCCTCTTGGTCAGGCCAGGGACTTCCTCTGGATCGTACACCTTGCCTGACAGCTCTTCCTTCAACACGTGGCGGATGCTGTCCTTTACTCTGGGAGCCTTGAACCTAGTGGGTATAAAACATGTTTCACAGCAAAAATTATGGTTTTGATACACCCATTCTATTCCTGATTTATGGAACGGCATTTAAATGGGTTTTGAAATCGTCCTCCCTTCCAACTACTGAATTACTGTCTGTAGCCCTGGGAGTGAACAGCTCGGCTTTGATCATAGCAAAGGATCATTTGAGTGGCCAAACAGGAGAAATGCTCTGGTTTGAAGCTCAGCATATTAATAATAATCCTTGCATTTGATATAGTGCCTCATCACGTCTTCGAGACATCTCAAAGCTCTTCACAGGATACACTGTAAAGTCTATTTTGTGGGCAAAACCGCATTTCATTCCTCATGCTGTAGATTTCATTGCATCAGGATTGATCAGGCTGTACCCTGTCTGCTGGCAAAACACATGATGGGACAACATTGAAAACCCCAGCCCTGAGCCCCCCCACCCCAACCGAGCCCCCCCACCCCTGAGCCCCCCCACCCCAACCCAGCTCCACCCAGCCCTGAGCCCCCCCACCCCAACCCAGCTCCACCCAGCCCTGAGCCCCCCCAGCCCAACCCAGCCCCACCCAGCCCTGAGCCCCCCCACCCCAACCGAGCCCCCCCAGCCCTGAGCCCCCCCACCCCAACCCAGCCCCACCCAGCCCTGAGCCCCCCAGCCCAACCCAGCCCCACCCAGCCCTGAGCCCCCCCCACCCCAACCGAGCCCCCCCAGCCCTGAGCCCCCCAGCCCTGAGCCCCCCACCCCAACCCAGCCCCACCCAGCCCTGAGCCCCCCCCCACCCCAACCGAGCCCCCCCAGCCCTGAGCCCCCCCACCCCAACCGAGCCCCCCCAGCCCTGAGCCCCCCCAGCCCAACCGAGCCCCCCCAGCCCTGAGCCCCCCCACCCCAACCCAGCCCCCCCCAGCCCTGAGCCCCCCCACCCCAACCGAGCCCCCCCAGCCCTGAGCCCCCCACCCCAACCGAGCCCCCCCAGCCCTGAGCCCCCCCAGCCCAACCCAGCCCCACCCGCCCTGAGCCCCCCCCACCCCAACCGAGCCCCACCCGAGCCCCCCCCACCCCAACCGAGCCCCAGCCCCGAGCACCCCCCCAATCGAGCCCCACCCGTCCTATACACCCCCCCACCCCAGCCCCGAGCCCCCCCACCCCAGAGCCCACCCCAGCCCCGAGCCCCCCCACCCCAACCCAGCCCCACCAGCCCTGAGCCCCCCCACCCCAACCCAGCCCCACCCAGCCCTGAGCCCCCCCCCCCAACCGAGCCCCCCAGCCCTGAGCCCCCCCACCCCAACCGAGCCCCCCAGCCCTGAGCCCCCCAGCCCAACCGAGCCCCCCAGCCCTGAGCCCCCCCACCCCAACCCAGCCCCCCCCAGCCCTGAGCCCCCCCACCCCAACCGAGCCCCCCCAGCCCTGAGCCCCCCCAGCCCTGAGCCCCCCCACCCCAACCCAGCCCCACCCAGTCCTGAGCCCCCCACCCCAACCCAGCCCCACCCAGCCCTGAGCCCCCCCACCCCAACCGAGCCCCACCCCAGCCCCGAGCACCCCCCAATCGAGCCCCACCCGTCCTATACACCCCCCCACCCCAGCCCCGAGCCCCCCCCCAGCCCAGCCCCGAGCCCCCCCCCAGCCCGAGCCCCCCCACCCCAACCCAGCCCCACCCAGCCCTGAGCCCCCCCACCCCAACCCAGCCCCACCCAGCCCTGAGCCCCCCCCCCCCAACCGAGCCCCCCCAGCCCTGAGCCCCCCCACCCCAACCGAGCCCCCCCAGCCCTGAGCCCCCCCAGCCCAACCGAGCCCCCCCAGCCCTGAGCCCCCCACCCCAACCCAGCCCCCCCAGCCCTGAGCCCCCCCACCCCAACCGAGCCCCCCCAGCCCTGAGCCCCCCCAGCCCTGAGCCCCCCACCCCAACCCAGCCCCACCCAGTCCTGAGCCCCCCCCACCCCAACCCAGCCCCACCCAGCCCTGAGCCCCCCCACCCCAACCGAGCCCCACCCCAGCCCCGAGCACCCCCCCAATCGAGCCCCACCCGTCCTATACACCCCCCACCCCAGCCCCGAGCCCCCCCCCAGCCCAGCCCCGAGCCCCCCCCCAGCCCCGAGCCCCCCCCCCCCCAGCCCCGAGCCCCCCCCACCCCAGCCCCGAGCCCCCCCACCCCAGGCCTAACCTGAGCCCCGGTCTCACTTGTTCTGGAAGTTGGGCCTGATGATGTAGCTGTTCTCCTGGGGGGGATGAGGAGTCGGCGGCGCTACCCCTCCCACCGTGGATACCGAACTCATCGGGGCCGTCATGTCTCCCGCTGCCCTGCAACGGCCCGCTCCCCGTCACCATGGGAACCGCCCGCTCCCCGTCACTATGGGAACCGCCCCGCCCCTCACCGTCACCATGGGAACCGCTCGCTCCCCGTCACTATGGGAGCCGCCCCGCCCCCTCACCGTCACCATAGGAACCGCCCCAACGCCATCAGCAGAGTACGCAGGCGCAGGCTCGGGGAAGCATTCTGCGCCTGCGCAGTGAGGGGTTGGGCGCTTTCACGCCCAAAACGGGCGTTTTTTTTCACGCCCAAAATGTCCTGGTGTCGGATGCAGCGCCTGATCCCATCTCTGAGTCGTGGCCAAAGCTCCATCTTCACACGGAGTCACTGAGACAAGACCGGCATTGTTTTTCGGGCGAAACGCAGCAGCCAATTGCATGCAGCGGCCACCCACAAACAGTCGCGGGTGGATTGAAGTCACCGATTTTATCATTGTTGTTTTTTAATTCTTGACGGATTATTATCATCGTAATAATAATAATACAGTATTATCGACAAAGCCATCTCAGTCCATCACTCCATCTCCCTTAACTCCTCAATCTCTCTCCCCGTCGCCACCCAACCCACCTTCATCTCATATCGCCCCTGGAAAAAAATCTCCCCCCCCGCCCTCCCTCTCCGCTGCCTTGGAGTCATCCACCACTGCCTGCTCCCCCGCTGGGCTTCCTCCCACAATGACCTCCTTGGTCACTCTTCTTCCCATTCCCTCTCCTCCACTCTCGATTCCCTGTACACCAGCCACCTCCGCTCCCTTAAAGCACAGGTGTGGGCCGCTGAGCGCACCTGGCTTTAATGAAAATTAATGGTCCATCTGCAGATCTGGCTGGACCTTATCAAATCCTACCGCTCCGCCCTCGCCTCCGCTAAATTGTCGTTCTACTCCAAGACAATCTTGGAGGCCAAGGACAACCCCAGGCTCCTCTTCTCCATCACCAACCGGCTCCTCTGCCCACCCTCTCATGCCTTGCCCATCCTCACCTCCAATGCCAACTGCGAGACGATGCTGGACTTCCTCAAATCCAAAGTCGAGGGAATCCACTCAGCTGCCTGGGCCATTCCATCTGCTACCCCCTCCTCATCTCCCCTCCCACCCCAGCCCCTACCCATCCCTCCATCCCCACGTTCAAACCTGTCTCCCATGCCTCTCTCATCACCACTATAACCCATATGAAACTGCCCACCTGCTCTCTCGACCCCATCCCTACTCCTCTCCTTACCTCCCAGTTTCACCTCCTTGCCCCTCTACTCACTGACATCATAAACCTCTCCCTGTCCTCTGTTGCTGTTCCCACCCCATTAAAAACCTCCATCATCACTCCTATCCTTAAAAAACCCTCCCGGACCCATCCCTACTCACAAACTACTGCCCCATTTTTAACTTCCCTTTCCTCTCCAAGGACCTGGAATGAGTTGTTGCTTCTCAGCTTCGCTTCACAGCTTCACAGAATGACAAATGACATTCTGTCCATCTGTGACCAGGGCTCCCTCTGCTTCCTCATCCTTCTTGACCTCTCTGCTGCCTTTGACACCGTCGACCACTCTATCCTCATCCATTGCCTCTCCTCTCACCTCAACCTTCACAGCTCGGTCCTTGACTGGTTCAAATCGTATCTCTCACACCACCTTTACTTCATCTCCACAAACGGCTTCTCAAGCCCCCGCACCGTCTCGTGAGGCGTTCCTCAGGGCTCTGTCCCTGGTCCCCTCCTCTTCAATATCTATATGCTCCCTCTTGGTGACACTATCCGCAGACATGGGGTCAACTTCCACATGTATGTGGATGACACCCAACTCTATCTCTCTGCCTCCACCCGTGAATCCAGGACTCACTGCTGTCCTGACAGAATGTCTGTCAGACATCAAGTCCTGGATGAGAGCTTTGTTTCTTCAGTTGAACGTCAGCAAGACCAAGGCTCTCCTGATTGGCTCCTGTCAGCGCCTCCACACCTTAGGAGACAACAGCACCATTCATGGTTACACGCTCCACCTCACTGAGTCAATCTAGAACCTTGGGGACTTGTCTGATCCTCAACATTTTACCCCACATCTGTGCCATGACCTGCTCTGCCTTCCCCTACCTCTGCAAAATCGCTGTCTCCACCACTGTCTCACACTGCAGGCCGCCGAAACCCTCATACATGCATGCGTTCATTATATCGAGGCTTGACTATACAAACTCTTTGCTTGTCGGCCAACCCAACTTCTCCCTCCGACCTCTTAAACCCCTGCCATGCTGCTTGCTCATCTGTTCAGCGGGCTCTGGCCTGCTTCACGTTCACCACCTCGCACGCCCCAACCGCGTTCGCCCACAAATATACAGTCAATTCACTTTACAGTGTATTCTGTGAAGCGCTTTGGGACGTCCTCCTGACGTGAAAAGCGCTATATCAAATGCAAGGATTATTATTATTATTATTATATTGGTGGGTGGGCCTTCTGCCACCCTGCCCCCATCCTCTGGAACTCTTTCCCACAGTCCTTCCGCCTCATCCCCTCCCTCCAATCCTTCAAGACCCATCTAAAGACCCTCCTCTTCGACCGTGCTTTTGATTTCCCTGCTTCCCCGCATGCCCTCCACCCTCCCTGACCCCGATATCCAGCTCGGGTCCGAATCTCTGTCTGTCCAGCGCTTTAAGGTGTCCTCCCGACGTGAAAGGTGCTTTACACATGTAATTTTGTTGTTATTGTTGTATTATCAAGCGCGTGGAGTAAGGAAACTTGCCCAAGGTTTTGTCCACTGCCGGGAATTGAATCCAGGAGTCTCACTAGTGAGACGACTGCTCTAACCACTGAGCTACAGGACTCCCTAATTTAACAATTAAAATGAATTTAAACCTGCAAAAAAATTTTCTCTGTAGATCTTTTCTTACAGAGTTTGAAGAGCACGAGACGTAAATTGGCCGTTCTGCTCGGCATAATATTGGGCTACATTTGCACCAGTATTTGGCGGACTTTGAGTTACAAACTGTACTTTAATTTCCATGCCTTCTCTGAGCAAAGATTGAAACGTAATTCACATATTCATGTTATCACCGCACACGCACGCAGTTGTAAATAGGTTTTTTTATTTTAAAGATCATAAATGATGATAACGCTCGCCTGTGATTTATGTAGTACTTTATCGCTTCTCAAAGTTCTAGGGATTATCACAGTGAAGTTTAGTGACCGTGTGTTTTATAGGTGAACATGGCAACCAAATGACAGCGTATCACAAATGAGCATGATGTCCAACCACAAACCAAGCTAGGGGTTCCTGGCATTGCTCGCTGTTTTCTCTCCCCTCTCTCTTCTGATTTATATATGCCATTTGGTAATACGCTTAATGTTCTCCACCAGTCATTTTTTTTAACAATAATAATTAATAATATTCCTTGCATTTGATACAGCACCTTATCACGTCATTAAGATGTCTCAAAGCGCTTCATAGAATATATTGTAAAGTGGAGTGACTCTGTATTTTGTGGGAGGAATACGGCATCAATGTCCCACAAACAGTCGTGGATTGAGTGACCATTTTTTTTGAAGGCTTATTACCCCTGGAAAGCGATCCGCCAATCGACTAACACCTGGGTTCCTACTTACTGTTGGGTAAACAGAGGCGTGTGGAGTAAGGAAATTTACCAAGGTTTCACCCTGCCCTAGAATTGAAACCTGGATCCTCTCGCTTATGACTTTTCATGTTCTACGTTTGCCTTGTCATCTGACGTCTGTCATATATCTATTTAATGCTCTTAATTATTTATCCAAGGAAGATACGCCTTGTCAAACTACATTTTTCTAGATAATTTTCTCATGAAAGGGGCTATAAAAGTGAATGTTTCAGCTGACCACACTTTGTACTCTGTACATAATTAAAATCTATTATCATGTACTGAAATCAAGGAGCAATTGCAATAACGTAATTCACAGATGGACTGTAATCCTATCAAGATAAGAAGTTTTCAACTCCATTCCGTGAAACAACTTGAATTTATATAGCACTCTCCATGCAGAGCAGGGTTGCAGAGCGCTTGATAGTGGTGGAGCATTAAGCCAAGCCGGAGGGAGGGGCATGGGAACTGTAAGCACGGTCGAAGAGGAAGGTGTTCAGGCATGACCTGGGGAAGGAGTGGGCAAGGTGGCGGGATTGAGGGAGTATTCCAGAGTTTTGGGGCTTAGAGGCTGAAAATAGGGCCGCCGATGGTGGAACAGAGGGTATGAGGGACAAGCAGGACCCATTCGAACGGAGGCAGTGGATAGCAGGTTGGGGAGTAAGTAGGTCGGAGACATAAGAAGGGTTCCAGGTCATGAGAGATTTGAAGACCCGTGTGAGGATCTTGAAATCGATCTGTTCAGTGATAGGGAGCTAGGCAAGAACAGGTGTGAGGAACTTATCCAATAAAGTCCTATATTAATTCTGAGGATTATGATTTACAACCATAAATTAAATCTGTATCAGGCCTTTCACATCAGAAGAATGTCCCAAGGCGCTGGACAGTCAGGGTCCGCATCCCAGCTGGTGGTTCATATCAGAAGAGGTGGAGGGCGAGGAGGGTTGGGGTAGGAGGGTGAATGAAGGCACAGTTGAAGAGGCGGGTCTTGAAAGAGGCAAGGGAGGGAGTGAGGTAGAGGAACTGTGAGATGGAGTTCCAGAGGGTGGGGCAGAGATGGTGGGGTGGGCAAGCTGGGGGACATGAAACAGGACGGAGACTGTTGAGGGGAAGAGGTTAGTAGGAGGTTAGGAGGTCACAGAGGTTGGGAGGAACAAGGACATGGAGGGCTTTGAAGGTGAGGACCTGGATCCTCTGAGTAATGGGAAGCCACTTGAGCCAGGCGAGGATGGGGGTGATAGGGCCACAGAGCCTAGTGCGGGAGGGGACACAGGTTGATCTGCACCCTGTGGAGAGTGGAGTTGGGGAGGCCAACAAGCAGGGAGTTTGCGTAATTGAGCCTGGATATGATGAATGCATGGATGAGGGTTTCAGCGGTCTGTGGTGAGAGACAATAACAACAACAACTTAGATTTATATAGCGCGCTCCACCTGGACGGCATCTCAGTGCGCTTCACAGTAATGGATCCTGGGTCCGAGCCAGGGGGAGGGGGAGGAAGGTGACCAAAGGCGCAGTCGAAAAGAAAGGTCTTCAGCCAAGACCTGAAAATAGGAAGAGAGGGTGGGGGGGGAAGGGAGTGAGGAAGGAAGTTCCAGAGTCTCGGGGCATAATGGCTGAAGGCACGGCCGCTGAGGGTGGAGCGGAGAACTCGGGGATGAGGAGGAGGCCAGACTAAGTTGAACAAAGGCAATGGGCACTGTTTTGAGGAGAGAGGAGGTCAGAGAGGTCGGGGGTGCAGAGGAGTGGAGCGATTTGAAGACAAGGGTGAGGATCTTGAAGTCAAGACAACAGTGGAGGTAGGGAAAAGCGGAGCAGGTAATGGCATGGATGTGGGGGTGAAGGACAGTTGAGGGTTGAACAGCACGCCAAGGCTCTGTATTACTCCATGATGTGTAAAGTGCCTCCATGAAGGGTGATACTATCAGTGCCCGAGGTATGGAGGTGCTAACGAGAGCCAATATAATACCGTATTATTATAATTGGAGTTCAATATAGAAGCATGTGAAGTGATGCATTTGAGTTTGATGAATTTGTATAAGACTTTGGTTGACCACAGTTGCAATATTGTATACTATTTTGGGCACCACATTGACCGAAAATATATCAGAGTTATAGAGAAGGTACAGCACAAATTCCCAAAGATGACTCTGGAGACAAAAGGATATGGCTATGAGGTTTGGCTTCCAATTGGAGCAGAGAAACTTGAGGGGGATGTGGTAAATGTTTTAGATAATCTCCTTGAATCTAGACAGGAAGGCCTGAGTTCAAGATGGTGACCAGGAAAGTAAAAGAGGTATAGAAGAACTTGTAGAGGTTTGTCAGGATAATGGAATGGTTTATCAAGGAGGGGAGAGTAGGTGTTCAGAGCAGAGTTAAATTGGGGACATTTTTAAAAAAGAATTGTGCAAACACATGTAATGGGAGGGTATTGGAGAGGACTGGCAGGAGAGATCAGGGAATTGAGATTAGGATAGAAAGTTTCTTGGAGGAGTCTTTTCTGGAATGTTAACAGGCAATTCAAATTGAATTACAAAGAGTTCTGAATATTCTGTGGCAGCACAGAATGCTCAGGGAGGTGTTGGAGGCATATCCAAGAGGGAATGAAATTGCCATTTGGCCAAGAAATTGAAGAGGAGTACAAGAAAGAGATTTCCTCACACCCAATATATACAGTCAAGGAAGAATTGCTGTAATGTTTCACAACTTTATGTTGTTTAGTGCGTTCATTGAGTTACACCTCACAACGTCATGAGATCGTTTTGAATGATAAAGGGTTTTCTGACCACATCCTCCAGAAAATCCACCCTACTGTCTTCCCATCAGCTAGTTTTTAAATGAGTCAGCGTCCTGGACTAAACCACCCTTCCTTTTTGGTCAGATGGGCGTCTGACTCATAGAATCATAGAATTCAACAGCACTTGAATTAAACATTCAAAGAGGCCATTTGGCCCATCGTGTCTGTGCCGACTCCTTGAAAAGAGCTGTTCAAATCAATCCCATTCTCCCGCTCTCTCCCCAAAGCCCTGCAAACTTGTCCTCCCCAAATAATTATCTAACATGTTGAATCACCATGCTTCAGAGTATCCAAACTAAACAAAGTTCCATCTACACATGGAAATCCCGTGATTTCCAATCGTTAATTACCCACTGAGTAAAGAAAAATGTCCTGGTATCTATCATGAAATTGCACCTAAGCCTGTGTCCTCTTGTTCCAATGTCTCAGCGCATCTGAAAGTATTGTTCTGGCTTTACGTCTTCAATCCCATTTAAAATGTTATGCAACAACAAATTACACTTGCATAGCGCCCTTACGTCGGAAAGATGCCCCAGGGAGCTGGCCAATCAGGGTTTTTGGTCCCGAGCTGGGGGTGGCTGAAGGCATGATCGAAAAGGTCTTCAGATGGGACTTGAAAGAGGCAAGAGAAGGGGTGAGGCGGAGGGATTGCAAGATAGAGTTCCAGAATGTGGGGGGCAGAGATGCTGAATGCACGACCACCAATGGTGCGGGGGACCTGAAGCAGGCCAGTTTCCATCGAGTGGAGGGAGTGGACAGGTTGATATGGGGTTATGAAGTTGGAGAGGTAGGGGGAGCAAGACTGTGGAGGGCCTTGAAGCTAAGAACAAGAGTTTTGTACTCGATTCTTTGAGGAATGGGGAGCCTGTGAAGCCGGGCAAGAAGGTGGGTCATTGTTCGTGGAGGCTGGTGCGGGAGAGGACACGAGCTGCAGAGTTCTGAATAATCTGCAGCTTGTGGAGCGAAGAGTTGGGAAGTCCAGAGAGCAGGCAGTTGGCGTAGTCAAGCTGGGATATAATCAAAGCGTGGATCAGGGTCTCAGCAGCCTGCGGTGAGAGGCAGTGATGGAGGTGGGCAATGTTGCAGAGGTGGGGAAAGGCGGAACGGGTTACAGCACAAATGTGGGGTTCGAAGGATAGCTGAGGGTCGAAAAGGACTCAGAGGTTTCGGATTGGCTCAGTGAGGTGAAGAGTGCAGCCATGAATGGTGATAGTGTCAGAGGCTGAAATGAGGAGGCACTGCTGGGAGCCAAGCAGGAGGGCCTCTGGCTTGCCGGCATTGAGCTGGAGGAAGTTAGCTTTCGTACAAGCCTTGAGGTCATGCAGACAACTCTATGAGGTCCCCTCTTAGTATCCTTCTCTCAGGATTGAATAGCTCATAGCTCGTTCCTCTAACACTGGGATTATTCTTGTTGCTCTCCACTGCACTGTTCTAGGGCATGGGTACCCCTACTTCATTCTGTGACCAGAACTGTGTGTAGTACTCTAGGTGTGGCCTGACCAGAGTGCCGAACAGCCTGAGTTTGACATTTGGGGATCTAAAGTCAACTTATTTATTAAGAAGGAAACATGAAATTAAATTATTTTGGTCGTTTGTAAATGTCATAGAAGCTGCTGGTCAAAGTTGACGGTAATAAAGGCCTTTCCACAAGGAAGAGAAACATTATTTATAGATTTTACAGAATCATGATTCATCTTCCACCGCCAACAGCTGATAAGTAAAGTCTGTGATTCTGCACCCAGTAAAGCAATTGTGTAATATCAATTGAATCACATCCATTGACTTCTTTCCTTGTTTGAGCTGGGTTTTCAGCAGGTTCCTGTGGATTAACAGCGCACTCCCATCACTGTGCTGCACCACCCATAAGCGTTCCAGGACGCCACCCGGCATGGTGGTTGCTAAATAAATGCAAGTTGTTGTTGTTATTGCACTGGAGTTTGAGCCTAGTCTGTGAGTTGAAAGTCCCTGACATGGGGCTTCAACCCACAACCTTCTGATTCAACAACAAATTACATTTATACAGCATCTCTACTGGACCGTCAAGGATTTGCACCTGAGCTGGGGGTTAGGATCAAGAGGGGTGGAGGGCAGGGAGGGTGGGGTTAGGAGGGAGACTAAAGGCGCAATCCAAGAGGAGGATCTTGAGTCTGGCCTTGAAGGAAAACTCAGTGGAAAACATGCTCCCAGTTGAGCCAGGGCGACTTCTAAAAACCTATTTTTTGACTGCACTATCAGCCACCTCCTATCTCCCTTCTAGTTCCCACTCACATTCAGTCTCTGTAAAGTGAGGTAAGATGTGGAAGACATTATATCAGGGCAACTTGTTGTTTAGTTAAACTCGCCAAGAATCATTTTTTTGCTGAGCCACATAAGATGAGAGAGGTGTAAAAGACATTTTAGAAAGGAAATCTCACCATTAGGGCTGTTTATTTGTGGGTTGGGGTGGGGGAGCAGGTCTTTCAATAGTGAACGCTGATGTTGAAAGATTTGTTGACCCACCGATCATGGAAATGTTACCGTCAAGTGGACATAAAGATATCTGAGAAGAGTATCTTATGGTGTAAGCTTGAACGCTTAATTCAACACAAATCATTATTACCAAAATTACTTAAACTCAAAGTAATGCTATCATTAACAATTGGCATAACAATAGTAACACTGATATAATTAGTGTGCATATGGCATCTTCCCATATATCTTACTCCATACTCAATGTTAATTTTATTGCTTAGTTCATCTGCATCAATTCCCATGTCAACTAAATGTTGGGGGGCAATAATACCTCTTATATGAACAGCTATAATCTTCCTGTTGAACTGTAATTAAGACTCCAAATTAAGACTCAATTAAAAATTTCCACGATTCTATGTGAGTTTAAATTTTAAGACAAATAGTCTGCCAGATGCAATCCGGGCTGTAGATGTACAGTTTACTAATCAATTACTTTATTAAAATATAAATAGGGAACTGAGATTAAAATATTTATCATGATTTAAAAAAATGTGTTAATAAATAAACATAGAAATAGATGGTCCATTCGTGACTTTGAGCCTGTTCCATCAATTTATTAGATAAAGTAATAATTATGAACTCTACCATTACATAACAAATTAACAAAACAAGATGCCCTTGTTGAGTTGACTGGACTGCTACTATTTCTATGTTCCGAATTAGTTTTTCTCCTTTCAAAAAATATATATCAATTATTTTTATCAGAATTGAAAAAAATGATAAAATAACCCAAGTTGTGCTTTAATCAACAACAACAAGAACAACAACAAGATTCCAGTTATAGAGCGCCTTTCACGTCAGGAGGACGTCCCAAGGCGCTGCACAGTTGGGTCGGGACCCGAGCATTGGGGGGGAGATGGTCAGGGTGAGGGGAGGGAGGGAGCGAGGAGGGGGTAGAGAGTCGAGAGGGGAGCTGAAGGCATGGTCGAAGAGAAAAGTCTTGAGACCGGCCTTGAAGGAGGAAAGGGAGGAAATTAATGAAATTAAATCTGAATTATTTGTTATCTGCAAAAACATAAAGCAGATAAGACTCCATTTGCTGTTAGTGAACCCCTCCTTGAATGTATCTGCCAATAACAAACAACATATTGCACTTGGAATGGGTTTATAGTTGACAACCTTAGCTCTGATGCAATCAGATTGGAACAGCAGGAGGAACAGCAGTGGACTATGTATGTGACTGTATGAATCAGATTGGAACTGTGAAGAAAATGACATTCTTTAATTTCATATTCCTTCTGATAGCTGGCATTCACTGTTTGCAAATTGTGGTTTCACACAAAATGTAAGTTTTTAATTTTTCTAACTGTATAATTCTCATTCATATTATTCCATGAATCAATCCCGATAACCTTTCACTATTAAGTTCTGTTTGGGCCAAGTGGTCTGTTTCCGTGCTGTACATCCTGTGTAATCTTCAAATTAATTTCAAATCTTGCTCAATTTATTATTAAAATTATATTATTTTTCTAGTTTAATTATCAGTAATAATTGTAGTCATAATGTTTTGTGTTCATACTCAGTTATAGAAATTAAGATATAGAATTTCATTTGACGGATTAAGCTTTAGTTTTCTCCAAATCAATCTTTTTTGGAAAATTATAGTCAGATCCCCCATTTCTCCTTCGCTCGCTTCTCCTGGATACATCATTAGGACTTGATTTATCTGTCTTAAATTTGAGTGGCTTTTTTAGTTCCAAAGTAAGTTCTAAGTGTCCGATCCTTGTTAAATTAACAACTTTGGTGATTTAAGAATGTAATAGAAACTCCTATTAGAAGATAATGACAAAGCCAATAAAGATACTAGTCCCAGGGAATCGCTCTATGTTGCATAAAACATCAGAACAAGTCACTGTATCCATAACAGGTCGTAATAAAAGTTAATTATTGTGAGAACCCAAATAGCTAACCCAAATTTAGGTGTGTTACACAAAATAGCTGTCATATTTGCCCACAAAAACAGTCACTAAATGTGGCAGCAATGACTAAAAAATCCTTTCAAATCTTTCACTAATGACATTCTGAACATCTGTGATCAGGGCTCCCTCTGCCTCCTTGTCCTCCTCGACCTCTCTACCGCCTTCAACACTGTCAACCACTCCATCCTCATACACCGCCTCTCCTCCTTATTTAATATTCACGGATCTGCCCTTGCCTGGTTCGATTCCTATCTCTCTCACTGTCTCCACTTTGTTGCCTCTAACGGTTTCTCCTCCAGCCCCCGCACTGTCACTTCTGGCGTCCCCCAGGGCTCTGTCCTTGGCCCTCTTAATATCTCCATGCTCCCCCTTGGTGACATCATCCGCACACATGGGGTCCACTCCCACATGTACGCGGATGGCACCCAACTCTATCTTTCTGCCTCTACCCTCAACTCCAGGACCACTGCTGTCCTGACAGACTGCCTGTTGGACATCAAGTCCTGGATGAGGGCAAACTTCCAACAGTTGAATGTGAACAAGACTGAGGCGCTCCTGATTGGCTCGCGCCAGCGCCTCAGCACCTCAGGCTCTGGCAGCATCAACCTCCATAGTTGCTCACTACAACTCACCAGTCAGGAACCTAGATGTTTTGTTCGACCCTCAACTGTCTTTTCTCCCCCACATTCAAGCCATGACCCGCTCTGCCTTCCCTCATCTCCGTAACATCGCCCGACTCCGCCACTCCCTCACCCCTCAGGCGCTGAAACTCTTGTTCATGCCTTCATCACTTCCAGGCTCAACTATGCAAACTCCCTGCTTGTCGACCTTCCCAACTCCTCCCTCCACAGGTGCAGATAATCCAGAACTCTGCAGCCCGTGTCCTCTCCCGCACCAAACTCCATGACCCCATCTCCCCAACTCTCGCCTGACTCCACTAGCTCCCTATCCTTCAGAGGATCCAGTTCAAGATCCTGGTCCTCACCTACAAAGCCCTCCAGGGCCTCTCCCCACCCTACCTCTGCGACCTCCTAACCCCCTACCAACCCGCCCGTTCCCACCGCTCAGGCGGCTCCGGCCTGCTCCACATCCCCCAACCCACCCACTCCACCATTGGCGGGAGAGCCTTCATCCACTCTACCCCTAACCTCTGGAATTACTCCGCCTCGCCCCCGCCTTAGACTCCTTCAAGTCCTGCCTCAAAACCCTCCTCTTCGACCATGTCGTTGGCCACCCTCCTTCCCCTCCCCTCCCTTCTCCCCCCCTGACCCCAGCTCGGGTTTGAAATTCTGTACACTGTCCAGCGCCTTGGGACATCCTCCCGACGTGAAAGGCGCTATACACATGTAATCTTGTTGTTTCAACAGGATTGGCGCTATAACACCCAAGTTCTTTCTTTCCCGATTCTAGGTGCTGAGGTAGTTAATTCCTTTTTCCAATGTAGATTGACTTTATGTTTCTCTCCACACAGTGGAAGTGAGTCAAATGATCTGCCCCATGGACAAAGCTCTCCTTGGATTCCAGGTGCAGGTAAGGCCGTTGCTTCTCTGTCCAATGTAAAAGCAATCAATGGGAGGAAACAACACTTCTAGGCATAACTTAGTGAAACCAACACAAATTCTAACTGCAGTGATCTTGCAAAAGCAGTTGAAACGCAACAGTTCAAGAGTTTAGCACTTAGTTTGAAGTGTACAAAAAAGTACTCTCCGATTAGGATCTCACCATCAATCCCATTATTTACCTTACAAAGATTCTCTCACACATAACCAGAATCAGTGAAAGTGTTTCAGAACATAATGAAAATATAGCCACTTCAGATGCTTAGAAACATAGCAACAGCAAAGGAGGTTACTCAGTTCACTGAGCATATGTTAGTGCTACCTCCCTTACTGGAGCAATCTACTCAAATCCCAATTTCCCCCTTCTTTGCCCAAGTCTTTTCTCTTCAAATACCTATCAAATTCTCTTTTAAATTTTCTAGACACTAACACTTCCTGGCATTTTTTTTCTGTTCAAAAAATTACTCATCACTTTATCAGCCTACCCTCTGGGGCGTGGATTTTATTGGTGTGTTAAAATACAGATAGTAAAGATTGCATAAATGAATTTTTGGTATTTTATTCCAGATTATATCACACAATGTGACTTCAATGACAATTCAAGACCATTTTGTAACTGGGTTCAACCCTGTTTGGAGGACAGTGGAGAGTGGATAAGAACCAAACATGGCACCCCAACCCTGGGAACAGGCCCTGAGGAGGACTATCCTAGTGGAGGTCAGTAAGTGTAAAGCAGTAGGAGAAACATCATTAATGATACAACATATTTCATTGTGAATAATTTCTCTGAGTTGAAGGAAAATGTGGTGTATGGCAGGGCTGAGAGTCACATACTAGCTCCGCTCTATTACATTCACACGGGGAGCACATATAAAATGACACTTAGACCAATGTAGCACATGCATGTATTATCCAAACACTCACAGACATGTACATAGAAACCCAGAGAGGAACATAAAAATGGGAGGTCTGGGTCATTTTCTTTAAACTCAAAGGAACAAGTTTGTTAAAATTAGGGAACGAAAGATAATACAACTTGTCTTGCAGCCACAAATTTGTTACATTGAATGAAAAGTGTTGTTTGAACTGCTGTTTATTTGAACATTTTTTAAAAATGTGCTATTTATCTTTCTGTATCTGAAGATCTAGGTGGATATTTCATTTACCAGGAAGCCAGCAACTTTGTACCATCGGACTTCATTAGACTGGAGAGTCAGAATATTTCTGTCAGTGGTGAAATATGCATTGATTTCTGGTACCACATGCTGGGAACAGAGAACGTGAACAAGCTGAAGGTGTTAGTTAAAGAAGATACAAGTGAGAAAATGGTGTGGAGTAAAAGTGGGAACCAGGGCTCCACTTGGCTGTACGCATCTGTTACAGTACCCTTTCCAACAGAATCAAGAATAAAGGTGAAGGAATGAGTCGGACTTTAAAGTACCATTCATGGAAACCTAAGAAATATACAACAGTCTATGCTTTAAACGCATCTTCCTAAATTCCCTCCATGCCGTACTCTTTCTCTGTCAAAAAATAATCCAGTTCCTTCTCGCCTATGTTATTTCATAGAATCTCCATTCTCTGCATTTTTGTGAAATTGTTCTATTTCTCTTCTGGGGTATACACTAATTTTGAGCAACAGGCCAAGTCAATGTCAGATATGTTTTTATTTGACCACTAGGAGGTGTATAGCAGATGACTCTATAGCCTTTACCACCCCCCCCCCCCCCCCCACCCCACCCCCGGAAGATCTGACCAAAATTGTACCCAGTCTCAGTCTGTTTTGAAAATATAAGAATTGTGGAAAGATTTAAAATAAAACTATTTAATAATCCTTGCATTTGATATAACGCCTTATCACATTGTCAAGAAGTCTCAAAGCACCTGAGCAAGGGATTTACTGTAAAGTGTAACGACTGTGTATTTGTGGGCGGCTTTCTACAAATTTGTAAAACAGCTTTCTGCAGTTTATGATATCCTTCATTTATTCTAATGTTGCAGGTCATATTTGAGGCGATCCGTGGGTTGACTGAATATGGCGACACAGCAATTGATAATATCGCAGTCAGAAGAGGAGCTTGTGACTCTGGTAACATATCACAGAATCATAAAATTATACAGGAGGCCATTCGGCCCATCGTGTCAGTGCTGGCTCTTTGAAAATAACTATCCAAATCAATCCCACTGCTCCGCTCTCTCCCCATAGCACTTAAAACTTGTCCTCCCCAAATAATTATCTACTTCTCTCTTAAAATTGTTATCAAATTGGCTTCCACCAGCCTTTCAGGCAACACATTCCAGATACGGACAACTTGCTGTGAAAAAATTTCTCCTCATCTCCCCTATTTCTTTTAAGAACTATTTTAAATCGGTGCCCTTGGGTTACCGACCCATCCGCCAGTGGAAATAGTTTGTATTCATATTCTTACAAACTCATTTGGTTCTTGAGTATTTTTTTCTTTCAGCGTTCCCCATGCCACACGCAACTCCACAGCTGACAATGCAACCAAACCACACCCTCCCATTCCTGTGTAGTTGTCCCTATCGCTGGCTGCAGTTAGCTAACTTGATGTTCAATAGATCCTGTCTGTCATGGTGATTTTAATTGTACCCTGTTGGTCAATCTAGGCATCAATACTACAACGCCAATCACACCCACTGCCACCAGTACAGTGTCTCCTGTGACAGGTAAGCACAAGTACATAAAAATAGGAGAGGAGTAGGCCATTTGGCCCCTCGAGCTTGCCCCGCCATTTAGTAAGCTCATGCGTGATCTTCTAACATTTAGCATTTACCCGCCCTATCCCCATATCATTTACAATAACAACAAAATTACATTGTAAAGTGCTGGACAGAGTAACGCACCTGAGCTGGGGTAGGGGTGGAGGGCAGGGGGATGCAGGGAGATTGAAAGTACGGTCGAAGAGGAGTCTTGAGATGGGTCTTGAAGGTGGCGAGGGAGGGGGCGAGGCGGAGGGAGTGCTGGATGGAGTTCCAGAGGGTGGGGGAGAATGGCAGAGGGCCCGCCTGCTAATAATGGAGCGAACAAGGCAGGGAACGTGAAGCAGGCCGCAGCCCGCTGAGCGTAGGGAGCGAGCAGGATGCTAGGAGGTTAGGAGGTCACAGAGGTAAGGGGGAGCAGGACCCTGGAGGGCTTTGAAGGTGAGGACCAGGATCTTGGACTGTATCCTCTGTGTGATGGGAAGCCGGTGGAGTCGAGTGATAGAGTCGCAGAGCTTAGTGTGGGAGAGGACATGGGCTGCAGAGTTCTGGATGATCTGCAGCCTGTGGAGGGAGGAGTTGGGGAGGTCGACAAGCAAAGAGTTGCATAGTCGAGCCTTGATGAAATCAAAGCCTTAGTCCCTTTAGTTTTTAAAAATCTATCGATCTGCAACAGTCTGCAACAATGGAAGCTTTAGTGTGCTTATGAGGTGCTGGAACCTTGCTCTTAACTAAGGAAGAGGATTCACAACTACTGCAATATGAATACGAACAGTGAGTTTGATACAATTCCCTATTGTCCTTTGAAAACTTTGATGTGGTGCAATGGAGGGCCGAGGTACCTTCAATCACTGTTTATGATATTGATATTGTTGCCAGCAGTGTGAAGGTAACATAAAAGGCTTAGAGGCTGTAAACCCTACAACATACTCATAACATACATTGGTGAGAATTGTGTTGAAAAATTAGTAAAGATAGAAAAATAAGAATTCAGGTCGTTCTGTAATGCAGGTAACGTCTACTAATTCAAACTTTGTTTCCAAAATCAGACTCTCTCTGCGTGGTGCATGGTGATCCTCATTACAAAACCTTTGACAAGCAAGCCCATAACTTCATGGGAACGTGTACATACACCTTATCAAAACTGTGTGATGCCAACAGCACTCTGCCCTACTTCAATGTTGAAGCTGCCAATGAGCACAGACGTGGTAATTCCCGTGTATCATATGTCAGGCACGTCAACATTGATGTCTACAATCACAGAATAACACTGGAGAAGAAGCATGTTGTCAAGGTATACAACAAAATCAAATCTTGTGGAGTTGATTTGGTGTGTAGAGTTCAGCTTGATGATGGTTCAGCTAACTTACATTGTTGTGGTTCTAGGTTGATGGGAAAATTGAGGTGCTTCCTATCTCAATCGGGTCCGGTGTCAGTCTTGGGCTGAGCGGACAATATGTCATCGTTACAACTGACTTTGGTTTGAAAGTAAAGTTTGACGGAAATCATCGAGTAGAAGTAGCTCTTACCAGTGTTTTCAAGGAAAAGGTGTGCGGCATGTGTGGGAACTATAATGGTAACAAAAGGGATGATTTCCTCAATCCAGATGGAATAATGGAGTCCAATTCTGTCAACCTGGGTAACAGCTGGCAGGTCTACAATGATACCTGGTACGTTCTATTAAAGAGTATTGTCTAACCTTGATGTTATGAAGTGAATGTCAATACTGTACTGATGCTACCCGCCCGCGTGAAGCATGCTATATAAATGAAAGTGTTTTTGGGGGGTGTCTGACACATGCAGAAACCCATCACCCTGCTTAAGAGCATCCAAACCAAACTGAGAATTCCATGCATCCCACATGGAAATTCCAGAGATATTTGCTGGGATAGAATGCGCCCTCTTTCCCTGGAGGGTCATATCCTGCTTACCTAATACTGGAAAGTACTAGGCGCAGATTGGCAAAACCAAATTCTTGGGAACCCCAAGGCATAAAATGTGTGAGAGCATTGCCACGATTTTCCTGTCTGCATCTCGGATACACATCCATTCCCACTGAGTGATGGTTCCCAGTTGGAGGTGCGGAGCTCATTGCACAAACCAATCGAGGTGGATTCCAGGCGCTGGATGTACAAACATGGGATCACGAACCCGGATACAAGTTGTTGTGCTTGTTTGCACTGTAACATACCATAATAGATCTAAATTTGACCTGGCACTGGTTTGGGGGGTGGCAATAGTGTGCCTGGTGCTGTACATTCCTATATTTTCCTGATGGACTGCTTGTCCCTGTTACTATTGTGCTGCCAGGTGTACTCCTGATGTTGGCTACAAACCAAATTGTACTGAGGAAGAAAACAACATCATAGAAAGCAACAATTATTGTGGAATCATCACAAATTCACGTGGTCCCTTCAAGAAATGCCACTCGGTGTTGGATCCCAGTGATTACTTTACCAGCTGTGTGTACGACATGTGTGCGATTGACATGGACACAGAATCTCTATGCAGTAGTTTGCAGTCTTATGCTGATGCTTGTCAGTCCCATGGAGTGAGAGTGGAACCGTGGAGAAATGAAACCTTCTGCCGTAAGTTTTTGATAATGTTCTGGACTGTCACTCTAATCATTAACAGATTATTCTATGACACATTTAGAATGGGATTTCCACAAGACATATATAATGGGCAGATCACTGATGATGGTTGCCTGTTGCAGAAATCTCAATTATCCTTTTCAAATTCCAGGGAGGCGGGCGGGGGGGTGGGGGGTGAGGAGGAAACCTTTCCAATGTGCGTGAACCATTTTCGTTTATGCAATGAAAAGCATTTTGTTTTGGATGTGCAAATGGTGTATGTATTAAGCTTTTTAAAATTCCCTTCACAGCTTTAAAATGTGGAGCAAATAGTCACTATGAGCAATGTGGATCAGCCTGTCCGGCAACATGCGTGAATCCGCACGCTCCATCCACCTGCCCCCTGCCCTGTGTGGAAGGCTGTGTGTGCAACAGTGGGTATCTTTTATACAATGACAGGTGCGTGCCAAACAGACAGTGTGGCTGCTGGGAAGGTGGGACACACCACCCTGTGGGCTCTGAGTTCTGGACAGATGATACGTGTTCAACTAAGTGTCGATGTCCTTCGTCTGGAAGCAAAATAGTGTGCGAGGATTCAACCTGTGCAAAGGACTCTTATTGCGGGGTTGTAAATGGAGTTCCCGGTTGCTACCCACAAACCTACGGCATCTGTAGAATCCACAATGACCCGCATTACAACACGTTTGACAAACAGACCCATCACTTCATGGGAACCTGCACCTACACTATCGCCAAGCTGTGCACAAATTCCTCCTCCCTGCCACACTTCAACATTGAGGCAAAGAATGAAAATCGGGGGAATGTGAAAATCTCGTACGTGCAGAAAGTGTACATTGATGTTTACGGGCACCGAGTCACGATCGTCAAAGGCCAGCAGAACCGCGTTTTGGTGAGCACATCTTTTCTATTTTGCTTTCTTTTCTCAGGGAGCTCAGCTTACACTGTGCTATTGCCACGAGTAGTAAGCAACAGCTTGTATTTTTGTAGCAAGAGGTATTTATGAGGGTAGCGTCTCGGAGCTGTGAAGGCTGCCTTACAGGTTAATGATGGGAATGGCTGATAAATTGTCTTACATTTTCCAAGCTTGAAATGAACCTACAGGAAGTCGGAAACAATTGTCCTCCCAGGATGCAAATCGATTAAAAACAGTTAAGTTGACAAATTCTAATTCACGTAATTTTTACCTCCTCTCTCCAGGTGGATGATATGTGGACATCCTTGCCTGTGACCCTAATTAATGGGACAGTGACTGCGAGCTGGAGAGGAAGACGCGTTGTTCTAGAGACAGATTTCGGGCTCACTGTTTCCTATGATACTGATCACTCGGTGGAAGTGAAAGTGCCCAGTGCATATTTCAACAGGACATGTGGCATGTGCGGTAACTATAATGGTCTAAGACAGGATGATTACATGAAACCTGATGGAGAACAAGCACAAAATACCAATGAGATGGGCAATAGCTGGAAGGTGCCAGATGATGACGATCCAAATTGCAAAGACCCAGTTGATCCTGAATCATGTCCACCCGATGAAGAAAATCTGTACCAAAGTGACAGCTTTTGTGGTCTGATGACGAATCAGCAGGGACCATTTGTCAAGTGTCATTCTGTAATCAATCCCCAAGGTCTCTTTGAAAGCTGTGTTGTTGAGCTTTGCTTATTGGAAGGAAGCCAAGCAGCTCTGTGCAATGCTCTGGAAGTCTATGCAGATGCCTGTCAGAGTGTAGGAGTGACCATTCCTCCATGGAGAAACTCAACTTTCTGCCGTATGTATATTTTTTAAAACTGGTTTCATTAGATCGTCGTTTCAAACATTTTTCTGCCCTCCTTTCCATACAGTAACTCCTTTCACTTTCTACTGGGGCACAGTTCGCAAGATGCCCTCCAATATCTTGCCCAAGTGCCTATTATAAATATCAACCTGTCCGCTCCCCTCAGCGGGCTTTGGCCCGCTCTTCATCCCCCGCCCGGCCCGCCTCACCATCAGCGGTCGGGCCTTCAGCCCCTCTGCCCTGCCCCTTTGGAACTCCATCCCACACTCCCTTCACCTCGGTCCCTCGCTTGCCTCCTTCAAGGCACGTCTCAACATCCTCGTCTTCGACCGCTTCTTCGGCCATCTTCCTACCCTCCACCCTGATCCCAAACCCCACCCACCACCACATATCCCCCCCTCGGATCCAAATCCCTGACTGTCCAGCGCCTTGGGATGTACTCCCGATGTGAAAGGCACTGTACAAATGTCATTTTGTATTTTATTAGTCATTTAATTTAGTAATTGGCTGTTGATGATATCACAATGAATTATACTGTATTAACCCTGTAGAAGTGACGACCTAACTCACTGTGGAAACTCTGTTTTTTGTAGTGAAAATGGGTAAGGTGAGTGCGACACAGGTCTTTGTTTTTACCTGGTTTCAGGATTCCTTCATTTTGGTTCTGCTGTCTCTTCATTTGTGTACCTACTTCCCTATCTGATTCACAGTGGGTTCATATTTTGATCCAGCTTCTTTCCTTTCGGGACTGTCATTTATGAATTTCGACCTCTACCACAATAGATTGAAAACAAATGGTATGTACCTTTTTTTTTGCAGCTATACAGTGCCCAACCAACAGCCACTATAACGTATGTGCCAATGCATGTGCCGCTACCTGCACTGACCGCCTCGCTTCCCATAATTGCAGCCAGCCCTGCATGGCGTCCTGTGAGTGCAATGAGGGGTTTGTTCTCAGTGGCAGTACTTGCGTGTCCGTTGACGACTGCGGCTGTTTCTACAATGACAAATATTATCAGGTGAGTACGAAAAATTTATATTAAGTACCTGTTATCCAATAACATTTCTTTACCTCAACTGGTTCTCCTGGTGTTCTGGTCAACAGATAAATTCCCCAGATAAAATCGACCATTTCGTTTGTGTGACGCTGCTATGCACAAAATGACTGATGTATTCACTTGAAATATACACCTGTGAAGTGTTTTTGATGATGTGACGAGGCCCTAAATCAAATGTCAGCATGGCCATTAATTAATTGAAAGACGACTGTTCTTTTTGCCACAGAAAGAAGAAACATTCTGGATGGATGATTGTCTGGAGAGGTGCAGGTGCATTGGAAACGACCAGGTGAAATGCAAACCTGCAACCTGTGAATCAGACGAAGTATGTAAGATTCAAGATGGAATTCTGGGCTGTTACTCAGGAGGCAGTGCAACCTGTCACATCTACGGCGATCCCACTATATGACATTCGACAGGAAATTGTACCACTTCCAGGGAGCTTGCAATTATACAGTGACCGAGACCTGTGGAAATACATCGGTCAAATTTTCCGTGACAACCAGAAACGAGCACAGAGGAAACCCAATGTGGACTGCGATTAATTCAGTTGCGCTTCAGCTTGATGACATTCACATTGCACTGCGGAAAAATAAAGCAGTTTATGTAAGTCAGTTTTCCAATTACAGTGTTTGTCAGAGTTGAAGTAATATTACAAGGTGACTTGTGTTTGCAATTTGTGCGGAGCCCTGTAGAATATCAGAGAGCAATTGCCTTGCAAGTGGCTTTGAATTCTGCCAGGGCAAAACCTTAGGCAAATTTCCTTATTCCACATGCCTCTGTTTACCTTGCAGTAAGTAGGAACCCGGTTGTTAGACGATTAGCATATCGCTTTTCGGGGGTAATAATAAATGATGATAATAATAATTTGGTTATTCAATCCACAATTGTTTGTGGACCACTGCTGTACACATTTAGCTGCCGCGTTTCGCTCATAAAATGCGGTGAATTCACTTTACAGTATGGTCTGTGAAGCTTTTTGAGACGTCTCAATGACATAAGGAGTTATATCAAATGTAAGGACTATTATTAACATAACTTGATTGACTGACAGCAACTGCCTTTGTCTAGGTTGATGGTATGAAAGTAGATCTTCCTGTAAGTTACAAAAAACCACAGATAAGCATCTCTGTGGCTGGATCATTTGTCGTGGTACATACCAACATTGGTCTTGAGTTGAAATTCAGTGGAGGCCATGAACTGATGGTGATTGTCAATGAGCGATACAAAGGAGAGTTGTGTGGCTTGTGTGGTACCTACACTGAGAACCAACTTGATGACTTTTTGAAGCCTGATGGAATTCTGGCCTCAGATTCCAATCAATTTGGAAACAGCTGGATAGTTCAGGATGTGGACTGGCCGTGAGTATTTCCCAAATGTATTGTACATGAAATGTAACTGCCAAATCTGTGACCAAGAATTCTGAGCAATGGCATTGTAACATTCACGGTAACAAACGATTGGTCCAAAACTGGCGCAAACGCAAATTTAGCAAAAATAGGGAGCCAATCCTGCTTTGTAAGCATGTTAACCTTTACGCCAGTAACGGCTGATCAATTCTCGTAAATATCTGCATAAATCAAAGAATCAAGATTCAAAATAAAAATACATTGATGAATTTTGAATCCAAGTCAATCCCTCTCATGCTTATTCATTTATATTGACATGAAATCATTACTATTTCCCGATGAAATAACGTGTTGCCTTCCACAGATGCAACCAAACAGCTCCAGTTCCACCGCCATGTGAACCATCGTTGCAAGAGGAGGCTGACCAATATTGCAAAATTTTTTTTGATGATCCTTTCAAAGATTGCAACTGGTACATTCCTCCTCAGCTGTACTTTGAGAGCTGTACCTATGATTATTGTAACACAGGAGGAGATTCGGAACAGCTATGCAATGCTCTGGCATCCTATGCTTCAGTTTGTGAGGCAGCTGGAGTTGATCTGGGAGATTGGAGGGAACAGACTGGATGTGTGGAAGAAAGTAAGTTTGACATCAGGAAGTACCCACATTTGTTTTCTCCGTTTTATATATGGGCATCAGGCAGCCTGGCGCGGCTCAGAAGGAGACATTAGGCAGGACCGATGGAAAATGGCGTAAATATTTGCCAAACAAAGCAGGGATATTTGACAAATTTGGGGTAAAATTGCTATCGAGGTGCATCTAATCTGCATTTTTTCACTTTATGGATTAAAACAACTAAACATGAAGAAATAAGACATCAATCCTTTCCCGTCCAAAAAGCTGGCGCTCCCCCTCGCTGCACGGGCCGCGCATGCACCAAACGTCAAGGAGACGCCCCGCCGACAGCCGCAGGCAGAGAGGCGCCAAGACCCCGGGTGTCGGCGGCCCGTGGGCCCCCACACAGCGCGGTCACTGGCTTTTGTGCGGGGGCGCGTTTTCGTGAGGGGGGGCCTTGGACACAAGAACATCATACAGCGCGGTCCCAAGATTTCATGGGGGGGTTCTCGAGGGAGTGGGGGTGTTTTCACGGATCTTGCAAACAAAATTCCAGGCACCATTTTCTATTGGCCCGGGACATGATCCGGGCAGATTCATCCGCTCCCTCACCCTTCCTCCCTTACTCTGTTTCATCTGGCCCACCAACACCCTCCATAACACGTAACTGTTGATTATGCTGCCCACAGACGGTTCTCAAATGGGGCATCCAGCCCTCTACAACCAAGAGGTTGGACAACCCTACCACGATCACAGTCACTACACGTGTGAATGAAATGGAAGCATGCAACCGATGTATTATTTCATCCAATTCTAGAAGAGCCTCAATGCAAGAAAGGTTCAAACGTGATGTTTATTACACCCACAGGCTGCCCATTGAATTGCAACTTTGACACTGACCTATGTTCCTGGAGTCAAAGCACCACAGACCGAATGGACTGGACACGGATCAGTGGTGAAACCCCATCAGGCAACACTGGACCTTCTTATGACCACACCACTGGAGGTAGGTCACGTGAGATTATCTCACAGCTGATGTGTGACTTCCCAGATGATGGTTTCTCACCAATGTGTGTACGTGTGTGTGTGTGCAGGTGGTCACTACATCTACATAGAGGGAAATGACGGTGTCCTGGGAGACACTGCTCAATTGGTCAGCGTTCCGTGTCCATCCAGAGGACCTCATTGCTTGCGATTCTGGTATCACATGTTTGGAGCTGCTCACGAAATGGAATTGCGGGTCTACCTGGCTGAAGGTGGATCAACAATACTAAAATGGTCCGAGACAGGAAATAAGGGCAACAAATGGAGATCGGGAGAGGTGGACTTGTACTTTTCAGGAAACTCAAAGGTAGAGAATGTGTAACACCCATGAAGCTATTACTCTATATTCTGTTAGATATGACAGAGAAGCTCAAGGAATTTCTTATTTTTATTCAAATTCCTGCAGAATTGGACATTTTATGTACAAGAAACTCCAACCACTTCAGCAAAATTCCTATTCTCAATCAGCAGTTTTTAATGGGATCTAAAAAATAGATGTTTGGTGCAATTATATTGAAAATTCGATGTGTGATGTTCTTGTGGCCAAGTTTCTGTCTGGCCCGGCCCCACCATTGGTGGTCAGGCCTTCAGCCTCTCTGTCCCCACCCTTTGGAATTCCACCACACAGTCCCTTCACCTCGCCACCTACCTTGACTCCTTCAAGGCATGTCTCAAGACCTTCCTCTTCGACACGCCTTCGGTCACCCTCCTACCCCTACCCTCCCTGCCCTCCACACTTCGTGATCCCAACCCTCTTCTCGGATCCAAGACCCTGCTGTCCAGTGTCTTGGGACATCCTCCTGATGTGAAAGGCACTCTGTAAATGTAATGTGTTGTTGTCGCTGGGTTGTGCTGGTTAATGATGTTCAATGTTTGAATGTGCAGATCATTGTAGAAGCAATGCGGGGCAGAGAATATCGCAGTGACGTTGCTGTGGACGACATCTCTTTCCGCTCGGGACTCTGTGCAGGTGAGAAATTCTGCTCCGTGTGAGTTTGGGAATGAAACTAACAGTGAAATAGTTGGAATCATTTCAGTAATATCCACAATCTGCTTTGACAGGAACATCAACACCAACAATGCCATCATCTACAAGCAGGACAACAACACCGTCTGTAACCCCCCCACTGCCAGGTACTGAAGACATCATTAGTTATTTGCTTTCTAGTCGATGTGTTCGTTTCTCTTATCCTTTCTTTGCCCGACTCAGCTTGACAGTGTCCTCACTCAGGTGCCCATTGTCACCCTGAGTAAGAGCAACAGACTGAATATAGACCAGGGGTAAAGCTTCCCGCTTGGTTTGGCACTGGGAAATGCCTTTGCAATGCAGCCATTGGTTTGGCTCCTCCCTTAACATAGTTTAATAGCAATTAACTCTCACAATGAAGATAGACCAATTGATTACCGACTACAAGCAGAACAACATCACCTTCTGTAACCCCTTCCCCAACTCCTCCCCCACCCACCCCCAATGCCAGGTACTGAATGCATCATTATTTATTAGCTTTCCAGTTGATGCGTTCTTTTCTATTTTCCATTCTTTGCACTTTCCACCCCAATATTGTCCTCAACTATGCATGAACCCTGCAGAATGATGAGTGAATGGACACCAGTCAGGAACTGGAGCTTTGTTATCTGAAAGTCAAATGTATGTTGTGTACTGCCTGCCGAAATGCAATAGGATGTCAGGTTGGACCATCTGGCTTGGTTTTAAACTGAATAGTGACTTTTCCAATGGGCCAATTGTTCCCATGTACATCGCAGGAAAATAGAACCGGGGAGGCCATTCAGGCATGAAACCTGTTCCACCCATTTATTAAACATCCCATTTCAATTCCATTTTGATAACTTCCTTCACCATTCTTTCATGGAATCATAGAATATTGCAGCACAGAAGGCAGCCATTTGACTCATCGTGCCTGTGCTGGCTCTTCAGAAGAGCTACCGAATCAGTCCCACTCCCCTGCTCTTTCCCCTTATCCTTGTAATTTTTCCTCTTTAAATACCTATACAATTCCCTTTTGAAAGTTGTTATTGTATCTGTTTCCACCACCCATTCAGGCAGTGCAGTTGAGATCGTAACCACTCTTTGTGTAAAAACATTTCTCCTCATCTCCCTTCTGATTCTTTTGCCAATTATCTTGAGGGTGAAACGATGGGCAAGTTTCCTTACTCCACAAGCCTCTGTTTGCCTAACAGTAAGTAGGAACCTGGTTGAAAGAGAAATAGTTGGAATCATTTCAGTAATATCCACAATCTGCTTTGACAGGAACACCAACACCAACGATGCCATCATCTACAAGCAGGACAACAACACCGCCTGTAACCCCCCCACTGCCAGGTACTGAAGACATCATTAGTTATTAGCTTTCTAGTCGATGTGTTCGTTTCTCTTATCCTTTCTTTGCCCGACTCAGCTTGACAGTGTCCTCACTCAGGTGCTCACTGCCTCCCTGCGTAAGAGCAACAGACTGAATATAGACCAGGGGTAAAGCTTCTCGCTTGGTTTGGCACTGGGAAATGCCTTTGCAATGCAGCCACTGGATGGCCTCCTCCCTCCAAATAGTTTAATAGCAGTTAACTCCTTATGATGAAGATAGACCTTCAAGCAAGAGACCTGGGTTCAATTCCTGGCAGGTCGAACAGTTTGGCAAGTTTCCTTACTCCACATGCCCCTGTTCACCTATTGGTTGTGTTTTGTGTACAGCTGCTGCAACATGTAGTGCCTCGGGGGATCCTCACTACAACACATTTGACACGAGTGTTCACCATTTCATGGGAACATGCACTTACACGCTGTCCAAGTCGTGCAATGCATCCTCATCACTGCCACACTTTGATGTATCAACAAGCAACGAAGCCCGAGGTTCCAACACAAAAGTCTCCTGGGTCAAGTCTGTTCACGTAGACGTCTATAACCACCAGATTACACTGATGAAAAACCATAGAGTGCTGGTACGTGAGAGCCCACTCCTGTCTTGTGTTTGATTATTTATAATCAATGTCGCAAGTGTCTCCTCTCTGCCTTGGTGTAGAAAATACTGTGGGACTGTGAATACAGTTTTCATTGCATGTTCTTCACGGAGCTGAATAGAGATCGTTAGGACAGGCAAGAGAGTGAAATCTTTTGTCTCAGTGTGGAAACATAGAGATCTGAGAGCTTAGAAAATCACTTTCCTTCATAAGAAATAGTTAGGGCATTTCAGGTTTACCAGGAAAGGGGACGTGGTATTAGGTCAGGACAGACACGGGCCTTCTGGAAGGATGAGATTAATGGGATGAAGGAAACCCAGAATAGTTTGAGTTGTGGCAAGACATCAGAAGAAAATGGCACAGTTCAGGCTCTGAATAACACATGTGAATGGAGGGGGTGTGGGAAGTTGAAAAACTTGCTTGATCAATCCTTGTTCTTAACTTGCACAGCTGAACGGGAGACGGGTAAACCTGCCAGTATCAGTCAAGGATCTCCTGACCATCCGGCGCAGTGGGTCGTACGTTTTGGTGGAGACCGACTTCAACCTGTTGGTGAGATTTGATGGCACCCACCATGTTGATGTGTCAGTACCACAGACATACGCTGGGCTGCTCTGTGGCTTGTGTGGTAAGTCCCTCGATTTATGGGGTCAGCAAGTCTCAGTTGGTATGGTTCTCGCCTCTGGGTCTCACACACACACAAACACGCACAGTCATGGGAGCACTATTTGCTCGCTCTTGGGCACGTCCCCAATTGCCAAGTCCCTGTTCCTGGCTCTCCAATCTCCTGAATTGGTGTAGGTGGAGCATTTAAATGGTTAACCTGATCAAAAATTCTGATTTTGCCATCAAAAACTTTAGGCGCTGAATCTCTGCTCTTTTTGTGCATTTCAGGGAACTACAATGGAGACTCTGCTGATGATATCATTATGCCCAATGGCAGCTTCGCGGCAAATTCTAATGAGCTAGGCGAGAGTTGGCAAGTGCCTGATAATAACACAGAGTAAGTGTTAGCAACATAACCGTGCCTCTCGATGGAAAAAAATAAAAGAAAGAGAATATAAGATAATATTAATTACAATGTTCAATTTCCATAAGAATGTTAGAAAGAGAAAAGATCACCGGTTCATCAATTTGGGTCCTTCTTCGGACCTCAACAAATCCCACCCTATCGAGCACCTCAGCACACAAGCTCAGGAGGCTGGGAGTGTCCTTTGGCAGCTCCCTGCTAAGATTGTGAACTATTGATATCAATAACCGTTTCTCCCATTGCACTATTGTCTGTGTGTATAATGAAACAATCTATTGGATTCCCAACTCTCTGCTTTTCCCCCACGCCCTCCAGTACTGTTCCTCTGCTTTTGGATGACAATAATTGATATGTGTTAATACATTTCAAATATGATAGAAAGTTACATTTGTATAACGCCAAGTCCGAAGGCATTGCACAGTCAGGGATTTGCACCCAAGCTGGGGATTGGGGAGGATGGAGGGCAGGGAGGGTAGCCAAAGGTGTGGTCGAAGATGAGGGCTCTGAGTCGGGCCTAGGAGGAGGCGAGGGAGGGAGTGAGGTGAAGGGAATGTGGGATGGAGTTCCAAAGGTTGGTCTCAGAAAGTCTGAATGCCTGACCACCGATGGTGGGGCGGGCCGCACAGGGAACGTGGAACAGGCTATAGCCTGCTGAGTGGAGGTTTTAAATTAGTTGAGATGGGGTAAACAGGGCGTAGTGGTAGGAAGGAGCAAGGCCGTTGAGGGCTTTCAGTGCTTCCCATTCTCCCCTGATCCCGTTTCATTTACCTTATTTGTCAATCCAGCTGCAATCATGGCGGAGGGGGGCTCGTATGTGACCCGGATGATAAGGAAAATGCAGAGAAAGATACAGCTTGTGGAATGATCACTGCCTCAACAGGTAAAACTCTTGTCTTTTCAACAAGTTCTCACTTCAAAAATATTAAAGCAACTTTGGTGATCCAACGGCGTTGACCAATGTACTCCAAAAGCAAACCAACTGGTGCCCGTCGCATAGCACCATCGCATGGCACCACTGTGGCACTGAGTGACTGCAGCACCAGGTCCCAGAACAGTTGCCATGTCTTACATTGTTAATAGGAAACAGATTCATCTGATGGGCATCTTCTCAACAGACGGTTAAGGAAACCATTCCAGTCCTGTCACATTTTGGAGCCCAGCTTGACTCGCAGAGTCCAGGACATGTCTACATCTCCGAGGCTCGGTGATCATCCAGAAACATTAGCAACAAATCCTTGAATTATTGCAGAATTATTATTGTTATCAGGCTCGGATCCTCATAGGTGCTGCACAAACCTATGTTTCCCACACTCGTACATTCTAATATCTCCATTTCCTGTAGTTAGTTTCGGGCTGGAATCTAATTGAAAGGCTGAGATTTTTTAGGTAGAATAAGGCGAAGCTATAAGTAATTGCACACTTCTCTATTGAAGGTCCTTAATTAGAAGAAATTTCTTCATGCAGAGAGCAGTGGGAATGTGGAACATCAAGGAGTCGTTGAGGCAAATAGCATAGATGTATGTAAGGGAAAGCTAGATAGTTACATGAGAGAGAAAGGAATAGAAGGTTCTGCTTGAAGGCTTAGATGAGGAAGGCCAAGAGGAGGCTTATGTGGAGCATAAACACTGGCATAGACCAGTTGGGCCGAATGGCCTGTTGCTGTGCTGTATATTCTGATGTAATTACAATCCTTCTAGGCAAGATATAGGAGTGATCTACAGGATTTACAGGATATTAATATAGAAAATCATGGGTCTGGGGAGACACAAACTGCAAACCAAAACCAACACATGTTTCTGTTGCCAATGGTGTGATTTGGAATGCAGTATTTATTGATCTGGAAGAACATAGCTGAAATCTTCATCCCTTTCATCCCCTCCATGTATTCAGGTATATTTAAAGAGTGCCATGCCAAAATTCCTCCCGAAAACTTCTTTGACAACTGCGTCTATGACATCTGTTTGGGTGGAGAACACGACACGACGCTATGCTTGGCCTTGCAGACGTACGCTGACCTGTGTGCACAAGCTGGAATCTGCGTAGAGTGGAGGAACAATACATTCTGTCGTAAGTCGTGTTCTGAAAATGATTACTTTGAATATTTGGCATCACATCTTGCAATGTACTCAGCAATGTAAGCAAGACACACACAAAGCCTTTGGTTTCTCTTTCTCAGCAGTTTGAAACAATTTATTTTATTGGGTGTTTGATATTTCACTGTAATATTGAGAGGTGATGAGGTGCCCATTGTAACTGATTGCAATTAACCGTGTTTAGTGAAGGAGACGTATTGACTGTTCACTTCCTTGTGTTCTTCAGCCATGACCTGCGGCACCAACACTCATTACGAGGGCTGTGGGACCAGTTGTCCTGCCACCTGTACAGACCAGTCAGCACCCAACCTCTGTCACCTCCCAGCTGCTGAAGGCTGCTTCTGTGACCCTGGATACGTCCTGAGTGCGGACACATGTGTCCCCGTCAGCCAATGTGGCTGTGTCGATGCAAATGACCAATACTATCCAGTAAGTGTGCAAATGATTGCTCAGCTTCACACTCTTTTTGGTGCCTGTCATGTTTCAGATTGGTTCTGCATTCAATGGTTATATTCCAGTGTTGTCCATCGCCCGCATTCTCACCCGCACTAAGCGCCTCCCCCCGATTACCTCAGTCCTTGCCAAACTCCATTGACGCCCTGTCACAGAGCGGATCCACTTCAAGATCCTCACTCTAGTGTTTAAATCCCTCGACGCCTTGGCATCCCCTATCTCTCCAACCTCCTCTGTCTCCTCACAGCACTACCCGCTGTCTCCGCTGTACTGGCTCCGGCCTCCTCCTTGTCCCTCGAATCTTCCGCTCCACCATCGGCAGCCGTGCCTTCAGCCATTACTGCCCCAAAGCTGTGGATCTCCGTTCCTCGATCCCTTTGCTTTGCCCCCTCTTTCCCCATTTCCGGTTGCGCCTGAAGACCTTCCTCTTCGACTGTGCTTATGGTCACCGGTTCCCCCTCGCCTTGGCTCGGTATCGGGCTCCTCCATTGGTAGGCTCTGTGGGATGCCACCCGACGTGGAGGGCGCTATATAAATTATAAAATGTTGATGTCCGTTTACACGTGAACTTAAACAGCAGGGGCTTCAGACAGTGCTTTGGTGAATTTGGTTAAAGGAGGAATGTCAGCCCAGGCACCTGTTAACAGCACCTGATGTTTGCTTTTCAGGTGGGCGAGAGCTGGTTTACACACTTGAACTGCACTGAACACTGCACGTGTTTGGCCAACACCGGAATTAACTGCACTGGCTGGATGTGTGGGGCACTGGAGACGTGCGGAATACAGGACGGAGAATTGGGCTGTCACCTCACAGGTCAGCATTCACTCCCCTTCCCCCTAATTATAACAAGATGAACAGTAATTCAGCTTTGAGTTACGTATCTTGAATTTCCATCCGGGATCCTGTGTTCCGTGTGAGTTTAGGAATGAAAGTGAAATATTTGGAGTCATTTCAGTAACATCCACAATCTGTTTTGATAGGAACACCAACATCAACACCAACGATGCCATCATCTACAAGCAGGACAACAACACCGCCTGTAACCCCCCCACTGCCAGGTACTGAAGACATTATTAGTTATTTGCTTTCTAGTCGATGTGTTCGTTTCTCTTATCCATTCTTTGCCCGACTCAGCTGGACAGTGTCCTCACTCAGGTGCCCATTGTCACCCTGAGTAAGAGCAACAGACTGAATATAGACCAGGGGTAAAGCTTCCCGCTTGGTTTGGCACTGGGAAATGCCTTTGCAATGCAGCCATTGGTTTGGCTCCTCCCTTAACATAGTTTAATAGCAATTAACTCTCACAATGAAGATAGACCAATTGATTACCGACTACAAGCAGAACAACATCACCTTCTGTAACCCCTTCCCCAACTCCTCCCCCACCCACCCCCAATGCCAGGTACTGAATGCATCATTATTTATTAGCTTTCCAGTTGATGCGTTCTTTTCTATTTTCCATTCTTTGCACTTTCCACCCCAATATTGTCCTCACCTATGCATGAACCCTGCAGAATGATGAGTGAATGGACACCAGTCAGGAACTGGAGCTTTGTTATCTGAAAGTCAAATGTATGGGGTGCACTGCCTGCCGAAATGCAATAGGATGTCAGGTTGGACCATCTGGCTTGGTTTTAAACTGAATAGTGACTTTTCCAATGGGCCAATTGTTCCCATGTACATCGCAGGAAAATAGAACCGGGGAGGCCATTCAGGCATGAAACCTGTTCCACCCATTTATTAAACATCCCATTTCAATTCCATTTTGATAACTTCCTTTACCATTCTTTCATGGAATCATAGAATATTGCAGCACAGAAGGCAGCCATTTGACTCATCGTGCCTGTGCTGGCTCTTCAGAAGAGCTACCGAATCAGTCCCACTCCCCTGCTCTTTCCCCTTATCCTTGCAAATATTTCCTCTTTAAATACCTATACAATTCCCTTTTGAAAGTTGTTATTGTATCTGTTTCCACCACCCATTCAGGCAGTGCAGTTGAGATCGTAACCACTCTTTGTGTAAAAACATTTCTCCTCATCTCCCTTCTGATTCTTTTGCCAATTATCTTGAGGGTGAAACGATGGGCAAGTTTCCTTACTCCACAAGCCTCTGTTTGCCTAACAGTAAGTAGGAACCTGGTTGAAAGAGAAATAGTTGGAATCATTTCAGTAATATCCACAATCTGCTTTGACAGGAACACCAACACCAACGATGCCATCATCTACAAGCAGGACAACAACACCGCCTGTAACCCCCCCACTGCCAGGTACTGAAGACATCATTAGTTATTAGCTTTCTAGTCGATGTGTTCGTTTCTCTTATCCATTCTTTGCCCGACTCAGCTTGACAGTGTCCTCACTCAGGTGCTCACTGCCTCCCTGCGTAAGAGCAACAGACTGAATATAGACCAGGGGTAAAGCTTCCCGCTTGGTTTGGCACTGGGCAATGCCTTTGCAATGCAGCCATTGGTTTGGCTCCTCCCTTAACATAGTTTAATAGCAATTAACTCCTTATGTTGAAGATAGACCTTCAAGCAAGAGACCTGGGTTCAATTCCTGGCAGGTCGAACAGTTTGTCAAGTTTCCTTACTCCACATGCCCCTCTTCACCTATTGGTTGTGTTTTGTGTACAGCTGCTGCAACATGTAGTGCCTCGGGGGATCCTCACTACAACACATTTGACACGAGTGTTCACCATTTCATGGGAACATGCACTTACACGCTGTCCAAGTCGTGCAATGCATCCTCATCACTGCCACACTTTGATGTATCAACAAGCAACGAAGCCCGAGGTTCCAACACAAAAGTCTCCTGGGTCAAGTCTGTTCACGTAGACGTCTATAACCACCAGATTACACTGATGAAAAACCATAGAGTGCTGGTACGTGAGAGCCCACTCCTGTCTTGTGTTTGATTATTTATAATCAATGTCGCAAGTGTCTCCTCTCTGCCTTGGTGTAGAAAATACTGTGGGACTGTGAATACAGTTTTCATTGCATGTTCTTCACGGAGCTGAATAGAGATCGTTAGGACAGGCAAGAGAGTGAAATCTTTTGTCTCAGTGTGGAAACATAGAGATCTGAGAGCTTAGAAAATCACTTTCCTTCATAAGAAATAGTTAGGGCATTTCAGGTTTACCAGGAAAGGGGACGTGGTATTAGGTCAGGACAGACACGGGCCTTCTGGAAGGATGAGATTAATGGGATGAAGGAAACCCAGAATAGTTTGAGTTGTGGCAAGACATCAGAAGAAAATGGCACAGTTCAGGCTCTGAATAACACATGTGAATGGAGGGGGTGTGGGAAGTTGAAAAACTTGCTTGATCAATCCTTGTTCTTAACTTGCACAGCTGAACGGGAGACGGGTAAACCTGCCAGTATCAGTCAAGGATCTCCTGACCATCCGGCGCAGTGGGTCGTACGTTTTGGTGGAGACCGACTTCAACCTGTTGGTGAGATTTGATGGCACCCACCATGTTGATGTGTCAGTACCACAGACATACGCTGGGCTGCTCTGTGGCTTGTGTGGTAAGTCCCTCGATTTATGGGGTCAGCAAGTCTCAGTTGGTATGGTTCTCGCCTCTGGGTCTCACACACACACAAACACGCACAGTCATGGGAGCACTATTTGCTCGCTCTTGGGCACGTCCCCAATTGCCAAGTCCCTGTTCCTGGCTCTCCAATCTCCTGAATTGGTGTAGGTGGAGGGTTCGATACCTTTGATGATTTACTTATACATCACGACATAGATATTCCCCTTTGGGCTGCCAAGGACTGCCTAAATCTCCAAAGTTACCAGAAGTACCTTAATTCACACTCTGACTGGCTACTGGCCTGCAGAGGCTTGCCAGGTTAATCCAAGGATGTTTGCCATTGCACCCCAAAGGTACCCATTGCACGATCTGCTCGCTCTAATAGATAGGATTCCCATTGTTAAACATGGAACATAAAATCTCACCAGAGATGGTCAAGACCCCTAATGTTGGGCAGCCCCTTGAGTGCAGTCTCTCATGAGTAAGGAACGAGCATTTGAATGGTTAACCTGATCAAAAATTCTGATTTTGCCATCAAAAACTTTAGGCGCTGAATCTCTGCTCTTTTTGTGCATTTCAGGGAACTACAATGGAGACTCTGCTGATGATATCATTATGCCCAATGGCAGCTTCGCGGCAAATTCTAATGAGCTAGGCGAGAGTTGGCAAGTGCCTGATAATAACACAGAGTAAGTGTTAGCAACATAACCGTGCCTCTCGATGGAAAAAAATAAAAGAAAGAGAATATAAGATAATATTAATTACAATGTTCAATTTCCATAAGAATGTTAGAAAGAGAAAAGATCACCGGTTCATCAATTTGGGTCCTTCTTCGGACCTCAACAAATCCCACCCTATCGAGCACCTCAGCACACAAGCTCAGGAGGCTGGGAGTGTCCTTTGGCAGCTCCCTGCTAAGATTGTGAACTATTGATATCAATAACCGTTTCTCCCATTGCACTATTGTCTGTGTGTATAATGAAACAATCTATTGGATTCCCAACTCTCTGCTTTTCCCCCACGCCCTCCAGTACTGTTCCTCTGCTTTTGGATGACAATAATTGATATGTGTTAATACAATTCAAATATAATAGAAAGTTACATTTGTATAACGCCAAGTCCGAAGGCATTGCACAGTCAGGGATTTGCACCCAAGCTGGGGATTGGGGAGGATGGAGGGCAGGGAGGGTAGCCGAAGGTGTGGTCGAAGACGAGGGCTCTGAGTCGGGCCTAGGTGGAGGCGAGGGAGGGAGCGAAGTGAAGGGAATGTGGGATGGAGTTCCAAAGGTTGGTCTCAGAAAGTCTGAATGCCTGACCACCGATGGTGGGGCGGGCCGCGCAGGGAACGTGGAACAGGCCATAGTCTGCTGAGTGGAGGTTTTAAATCAGTTGAGATGGGGTAAACAGGGCGTAGTGGTAGGAAGGAGCAAGGCCGTTGAGGGCCTTCAGTGCTTCCCATTCTCCCCTGATCCCGTTTCATTTACCTTATTTGTCAATCCAGCTGCAATCATGGCGGAGGGGGGCTCGTATGTGACCCGGATGATAAGGAAAATGCAGAGAAAGATACAGCTTGTGGAATGATCACTGCCTCAACAGGTAAAACTCTTGTCTTTTCAATAAGTTCTCACTTCAAAAATATTAAAGCAACTTTGGTGATCCAACGGCGTTGACCAATGTACTCCAAAAGCAAACCAACTGGTGCCCGTCGCATAGCACCATCGCATGGCACCACTGTGGCACTGAGTGACTGCAGCACCAGGTCCCAGAACAGTTGCCATGTCTTACATTGTTAATAGGAAACAGATTCATCTGATGGGCATCTTCTCAACAGACGGTTAAGGAAACCATTCCAGTCCTGTCACATTTTGGAGCCCAGCTTGACTCGCAGAGTCCAGGACATGTCTACATCTCCGAGGCTCGGTGATCATCCAGAAACATTAGCAACAAATCCTTGAATTATTGCAGAATTATTATTGTTATCAGGCTCGGATCCTCATAGGTGCTGCACAAAGGCACTGCCTATGTTTCCCACACTCGTACATTCTAATGTCTCCATTTCCTGTAGTTAGTTTCGGGCTGGAATCTAATTGAAAGGCTGAGATTTTTTAGGTAGAATAAGGCGAAGCTATAAGTAATTGCACACTTCTCTATTGAAGGTCCTTAATTAGAAGAAATTTCTTCATGCAGAGAGCAGTGGGAATGTGGAACATCAAGGAGTCGTTGAGGCAAATAGCATAGATGTATGTAAGGGAAAGCTAGATAGTTACATGAGAGAGAAAGGAATAGAAGGTTCTGCTTGAAGGCTTAGATGAGGAAGGCCAAGAGGAGGCTTATGTGGAGCTTAAACACTGGCATAGACCAGTTGGGCCGAATGGCCTGTTGCTGTGCTGTATATTCTGATGTAATTACAATCCTTCTAGGCAAGATATAGGAGTGATCTACAGGATTTACAGGATATTAATATAGAAAATCATGGGTCTGGGGAGACACAAACTGCAAACCAAAACCAACACATGTTTCTGTTGCCAATGGTGTGATTTGGAATGCAGTATTTATTGATCTGGAAGAACATAGCTGAAATCTTCATCCCTTTCATCCCCTCCATGTATTCAGGTATATTTAAAGAGTGCCATGGCAAAATTCCTCCCGAAAACTTCTTTGACAACTGCGTCTATGACATCTGTTTGGGTGGAGAACACGACACGACGCTATGCTTGGCCTTGCAGACGTACGCTGACCTGTGTGCACAAGCTGGAATCTGCGTAGAGTGGAGGAACAATACATTCTGTCGTAAGTCGTGTTCTGAAAATGATTACTTTGAATATTTGGCATCACATCTTGCAATGTACTCAGCAATGTAAGCAAGACACACACAAAGCCTTTGGTTTCTCTTTCTCAGCAGTTTGAAACAATTTATTTTATTGGGTGTTTGATATTTCACTGTAATATTGAGAGGTGATGAGGTGCCCATTGTAACTGATTGCAATTAACCGTGTTTAGTGAAGGAGACGTGTTGACTGTTCACTTCCTTGTGTTCTTCAGCCATGACCTGCGGCAGCAACACTCATTACGAGGGCTGTGGGACCAGTTGTCCTGCCACCTGTACAGACCAGTCAGCACCCAACCTCTGTCACCTCCCAGCTGCTGAAGGCTGCTTCTGTGACCCTGGATACGTCCTGAGTGCGGACACATGTGTCCCCGTCAGCCAATGTGGCTGTGTCGATGCAAATGACCAATACTATCCAGTAAGTGTGCAAATGATTGCTCAGCCTCACACTCTTTTTGGTGCCTGTCATGTTTCAGATTGGTTCTGCATTCAATGGTTATATTCCAGTGTTGTCCATCGCCCGCATTCTCACCCGCACTAAGCGCCTCCCCCCGATTACCTCAGTCCTTGCCAAACTCCATTGACGGCCTGTCACAGAGCGGATCCACTTCAAGATCCTCACTCTAGTGTTTAAATCCCTCGACGCCTTGGCATCCCCTATCTCTCCAACCTCCTCTCTCTCCTCACAGCACTACCCGCTGCCTCCGCTGTACTGGCTCCGGCCTCCTCCTTGTCCCTCGAATCTTCCGCTCCACCATCGGCAGCCGTGCCTTCAGCCATTACTGTCCCAAAGCTGTGGATCTCCGTTCCTCGATCCCTTTGCTTTGCCCCCTCTTTCCCCATTTCCGGTTGCGCCTGAAGACCTTCCTCTTCGACTGTGCTTATGGTCACCGGTTCCCCCTCGCCCTGGCTCGGTATCGGGCTCCCCCATTGGTAGGCTCTGTGGGATGCCACCCGACGTGGAGGGCGCTATATAAATTAGAAGTTGTTGATGTCCGTTTACACGTGAACTTAAACAGCAGGGGCTTCAGACAGTGCTTTGGTGAATTTGGTTAAAGGAGGAATGTCAGCCCAGGCACCTGTTAACAGCACCTGATGTTTGCTTTTCAGGTGGGCGAGAGCTGGTTTACACACTTGAACTGCACTGAACACTGCACGTGTTTGGCCAACACCGGAATTAACTGCACTGGCTGGATGTGTGGGGCACTGGAGACGTGCGGAATACAGGACGGAGAATTGGGCTGTCACCTCACAGGTCAGCATTCACTCCCCTTCCCCCTAATTATAACAAGATGAACAGTAATTCAGCTTTGAGTTACGTATCTTGAATTTCCATCCGGGATCCTGTGTTCCGTGTGAGTTTAGGAACGAAAGTGAAATATTTGGAGTCATTTCAGTAACATCCACAATCTGTTTTGATAGGAACACCAACATCAACACCAACGAAGCCATCATCTACAAGCAGGACAACAACACCGCCTGTAACCCCCCCACTGCCAGGTACTGAAGACATCATTAGTTATTAGCTTTCTAGTCGATGTGTTGGTTTCTCTTATCCTTTCTTTGCCCGACTCAGCTGGACAGTGTCCTCACTCAGGTGCCCATTGTCACCCTGAGTAAGAGCAACAGACTGAATATAGACCAGGGGTAAAGCTTCCCGCTTGGTTTGGCACTGGGAAATGCCTTTGCAATGCAGCCATTGGTTTGGCTCCTCCCTTAACATAGTTTAATAGCAATTAACTCTCACAGTGAAGATAGACCAATTGATTACCGACTACAAGCAGAACAACATCACCTTCTGTAACCCCTTCCCCAGCTCCTCCCCCACCCACCGCCAATGCCAGGTACTGAATGCATCATTATTTATTAGCTTTCCAGTTGATGCGTTCTTTTCTATTTTCCATTCTTTGCACTTTCCACCCCAATATTGTCCTCACCTATGCATGAACCCTGCAGAATGATGAGTGAATGGACACCAGTCAGGAACTGGAGCTTTGTTATCTGAAAGTCAAATGTATGGGGTGTACTGCCTGCCGAAATGCAATAGGATGTCAGGTTGGACCATCTGGCTTGGTTTTAAACTGAATAGTGACTTTTCCAATGGGCCAATTGTTCCCATGTACATCGCAGGAAAATAGAACCGGGGAGGCCATTCAGGCATGAAACCTGTTCCACCCATTTATTAAACATCCCATTTCAATTCCATTTTGATAACTTCCTTCACCAATCTTTCATGGAATCATAGAATATTGCAGCACAGAAGGCAGCCATTTGACTCATCGTGCCTGTGCTGGCTCTTCAGAAGAGCTACCGACCGAATCAGTCCCACTCCCCTGCTCTTTCCCCTTATCCTTGTAATTTTTCCTCTTTAAATACCTATACAATTCCCTTTTGAAAGTTGTTATTGTATCTGTTTCCACCACCCATTCAGGCAGTGCAGTTGAGATCGTAACCACTCTTTGTGTAAAAACATTTCTCCTCATCTCCCTTCTGATTCTTTTGCCAATTATCTTGAGGGTGAAACGATGGGCAAGTTTCCTTACTCCACAAGCCTCTGTTTGCCTAACAGTAAGTAGGAACCTGGTTGAAAGTGAAATATTTGGAGTAATTTCAGTAATATCCACAATCTGTTTTGACAGGAACACCAACACCAACGATGCCATCATCTACAAGCAGGACAACAACACCGCCTGTAACCCCCCCACTGCCAGGTATTGAAGACATCATTAGTTATTAGCTTTCTAGTCGATGTGTTCGTTTCTCTTATCCTTTCTTTGCCCGACTCAGCTTGACAGTGTCCTCACTCAGGTGCCCATTGTCACCCTGAGTAAGAGCAACAGACTGAATATAGACCAGGGGTAAAGCTTCCCGCTTGGTTTGGCACTGGGAAATGCCTTTGCAATGCAGCCATTGGTTTGGCTCCTCCCTTAACATAGTTTAATAGCAATTAACTCTCACAGTCAAGATAGACCAATTGATTACCGACTACAAGCAGAACAACATCACCTTCTGTAACCCCTTCCCCAACTCCTCCCCCACCCGACCCCAATGCCAGGTACTGAATGCATCATTATTTTTTAGCTTTCCAGTTGATGCGTTCTTTTCTATTTTCCATTCTTTGCACTTTCCACCCCAATATTGTCCTCACCTATGCATGAACCCTGCAGAATGATGAGTGAATGGACACCAGTCAGGAACTGGAGCTTTGTTATCTGAAAGTCAAATGTATGGGGTGCACTGCCTGCCGAAATGCAATAGGATGTCAGGTTGGACCATCTGGCTTGGTTTTAAACTGAATAGTGACTTTTCCAATGGGCCAATTGTTCCCATGTACATCGCAGGAAAATAGAACCGGGGAGGCCATTCAGGCATGAAACCTGTTCCACCCATTTATTAAACATCCCATTTCAATTCCATTTTGATAACTTCCTTCACCAATCTTTCATGGAATCATAGAATATTGCAGCACAGAAGGCAGCCATTTGACTCATCGTGCCTGTGCTGGCTCTTCAGAAGAGCTACCGACCGAATCAGTCCCACTCCCCTGCTCTTTCCACTTATCCTTGTAATTTTTCCTCTTTAAATACCTTTTCAATTCCCTTTTGAAAGTTGTTATTGTATCTGTTTCCACCACCCATTCAGGCAGTGCAGTTGAGATCGTAACCACTCTTTGTGTAAAAACATTTCTCCTCATCTCCCTTCTGATTCTTTTGCCAATTATCTTGAGGGTGAAACGATGGGCAAGTTTCCTTACTCCACAAGCCTCCGTTTGCCTAACAGTAAGTAGGAACCTGGTTGAAAGAGAAATATTTGGAGTAATTTCAGTAATATCCACAATCTGTTTTGATAGGAACACCAACACCAACGATGCCATCATCTACAAGCAGGACAACAACACCGCCTGTAACCCCCCCACTGCCAGGTACTGAAGACATCATTAGTTATTAGCTTTCTAGTCGATGTGTTCGTTTCTCTTATCCTTTCTTTGCCCGACTCAGCTTGACAGTGTCCTCACTCAGGTGCTCACTGCCTCCCTGCGTAAGAGCAACAGACTGAATATAGACCAGGGGTAAAGCTTCCCGCTTGGTTTGGCACTGGGAAATGCCTTTGCAATGCAGCCATTGGTTTGGCTCCTCCCTTAACATAGTTTAATAGCAATTAACTCTCACAGTAAAGATAGACCAATTGATTACCGACTACAAGCAGAACAACATCACCTTCTGTAACCCCTTCCTCAACTCCTCCCCCACCCACCCCCAATGCCAGGTACTGAATGCATCATTATTTATTAGCTTTCCAGTTGATGCGTTCTTTTCTATTTTCCATTCTTTGCACTTTCCACCCCAATATTGTCCTCACCTATGCATGAACCCTGCAGAATGATGAGTGAATGGACACCAGTCAGGAACTGGAGCTTTGTTATCTGAAAGTCAAATGTATGGGGTGTACTGCCTGCCGAAATGCAATAGGATGTCAGGTTGGACCATCTGGCTTGGTTTTAAACTGAATAGTGACTTTTCCAATGGGCCAATTGTTCCCATGTACATCGCAGGAAAATAGAACCGGGGAGGCCATTCAGGCATGAAACCTGTTCCACCCATTTATTAAACATCCCATTTCAATTCCATTTTGATAACTTCCTTCACCATTCTTTCATGGAATCATAGAATATTGCAGCACAGAAGGCAGCCATTTGACTCATCGTGCCTGTGCTGGCTCTTCAGAAGAGCTACCGACCGAATCAGTCCCACTCCCCTGCTCTTTCCCCTTATCCTTGTAATTTTTCCTCTTTAAATACCTATACAATTCCCTTTTGAAAGTTGTTATTGTATCTGTTTCCACCACCCATTCAGGCAGTGCAGTTGAGATCGTAACCACTCTTTGTGTAAAAACATTTCTCCTCATCTCCCTTCTGATTCTTTTGCCAATTATCTTGAGGGTGAAACGATGGGCAAGTTTCCTTACTCCACAAGCCTCTGTTTGCCTAACAGTAAATAGGAACCTGGTTGTTAGTCGACTGGCGGATCATTTTTCCGGAGGTAATAATTCCTTCAAAGTAAATAAAATAAATTGGTCACTGAATCCATGACTGTTTGTGGGACACTGTTGTGCGCAATTGGCTGCCGTACATCGCCCACAAAATATACAGTCAATTCACTTTACAGTATATTCTGTGAACCGCTTTGAGAAGTCTTGAAGACATGATAAGGAGCTATATCAATTGCAAGGATTATTATTATTATATGTCCCCAATCTAATCTATCAAAACCTCTCATAATTTTTATAATACTCATATTTCTGCTATTAAATCTCCCATTAACCTCTGCTCTCAGGAGAACAATCCCAGCTTCTCCAGTCTCTTCACATAACTAAAGTCCCTCATCCCTGGTCCTATTCTGGTAAATCTACACCCTCTCCAAGGTCTTGATATCCTTACCTAAAATGTGGTGACCAGAATTGGACACAATACTCCAGCTGACGCGTAACCTGTGACTTATGAAGGTTGAGCAGCACGTCCTTGTCTTTGTACTCTGTGCCTCTATTTATAAAGCCAAGGATTCCATATGATTTTTTTAACAGCTCTATCAACCTGCTCTGCCACCTCCAAACACCTGTGTATGTGAACCCCCAGGTCTCTCTGCTCCTGAACCCCCTTTAAACTGTACCATCTGTTGTGTGTTGCCTCTCCTAATTCTTCCTCCCAAAATGCATCACATTACACTTCCCTCTATTAAACTTCATCTGCCAGGTGTCTGCCTATTTCTCCAGTCTGTGCATGTCCTCCTGCAGTTTGCTACCATCCTCCTCACTGTTTACAACGTTGCCAAGTTTTGTGTCATCTGAAAACTTTAACATTTTGTTCTCTATACCCAAGTCCAAGTCATTTATGTATATCAATAAGAGCAGTGGACCCTGACCCCTGGAGGACACCACTGTATACTTCCCTCTCGTCTGAAAGACAACCATTCACCACCAACCTCTGCTTTTTGTTTAACAGCTAATTTTGTATCTGTCCCTTTTATTACATGGGCTTCAATTTTGCTAACTTGTCTATTATGTGGCCCCTTATCACACATCTTTTGAAAGTCCATATACACTACATCAACTGTACAACCTTCCTCAACTTTCACCTATCTGTTATACCTTTCTTCCCAAGTGTGCTTCCATCTCTTTTTTAACATCCCATTGAATTCTGCTACAGAATACTGGCACGGCGTAGTACGTGGTGTTGAACTATCGTATTATTCAAGTTGAAATATTCATTTGAAATGCTTTGTTCGGAAATTTTATCAAAGTTTCTTATTTTCCCAGGAAGTGGCCCCTGTTATGTTGTGGGTGATCCTCACTACCTTACCTTTGATAAGATAATGTACACGTTCTTCGGCACCTGCGCGTACACCCTGGTGAAGGTGTGTGACAACAGCAGTGTGATCCCCATCACCATCACTGGCAAGAACGAGGAGCGTGGGCAGCCTGACGCCACATTCCTCAAGGAGATCTATGTGGATGTGTACGATGTCCGTGTCACGCTGCAGAAAAGCAGGAGAGTCTTGGTAAGTGAGAAAGAGACTGAAATCCCACACCAATCTCACCATCCAGTTCTGTAACATTCCCTATTTGTGAAGAATCACCTGCTTCAGAGTTGGGCAAGAGAAAATTAACGTGTTTGATTGCTCCTGGATAGTGGCTGATATCCACCTAACTCCCACACAGCACATACTGTGCGCGATTAGCTGCTGCATTTCGCCCACAAAATATACAGTCAATTCACTTTACAGTATATTCTGTGAAGCACTTTGAGATGTATCGAGGCGCTATATCAAATGAAAGGATTATTATTATTATGTCCCAATGTCTCCCATTACCATGCATAGGAATATTCTCAGTTTGGTTTGGATATTTTTAAGCATGGTGTTGCATTTCCACATGTGTCAGACACCCGGCTGACCAAAACAAAAATCGCTCTCCCAGGTACAATACTTATTTCATTATTGGGTCTGAATTAGGAGATAAAGGAGGGTCTAGTTTAAGAGATATTTTTGTTGGACTCTGGCTACAACCACTATGGTTGTGTCATGAGACAAACCAAACCTTTCACTTTGTCCTCAGTTTCGAAAGCCAGAGAACTCAAAGCTCATGATTGCTAGTCAAGTAATTTTTAAAAAATTTAAAACACAAATTGTCTCATTTTAGTTCAGTTTGTCCCAAATTCCCTGCTTGCCAAATCACTGTGATCTCACTTGGCTGACTGACTCAACAGGCCATGTTTGAAAATCATCAAACCTCAGATATCGGCATGTTTGCCTTTAAAAATAGGTTTCATCAACTTGCCATCAGTATTCTGAAACCAAAATGTGTTTCTATTTTTTGTATAAAAACAGAAGTCGCTGAGAACATCTATGGAGAGAGAAAAATGAATTAGCCAGTTAATTAATCAGCCAATTACCTCAGAACTGGGGTTTTTTGGAAGGGAGCAGTTTATAAAAACAAACAGAGAAGGAAGAAGCATGGAAAGAAAGTCAAAGGGAAAAAAATAGGTGGAGGACAGGAGATGATGAGATCAGAGTTGTTTATGGTGCAAGACAAATGTTTTTCCCTTTATAATTTTTACTTTGGGCACTCGCTCTCGTGGTCTTTTCCAGTCTTGAACATTCTAGTGTTCTTAGAGGTTGGTGTGAAAAGATCTATCAAATATGTCTGTGTCTAATGCTGTTTTATCCACTAGTTGAATGGAGTACGAGTGCGACTACCAATTCAGCAGCGTTTGAAAGGAATAACAATCACAACCAGCGGTATATACACAGTGCTTGAGACGGACTTTGGAGCCACTGTGAAGTTTGATGGAAACCACCAAGTGGAGATCAATCTCCCGGATTCGTACCACTCCAAAGTGAGCATTGCCACACAGCGCATTCAATCCGAGCACCACACATCATGCTACAGTGTTCAACACAAATGTTTTGTTCCCTCCTATAAAATGGCCGTGCAAGCAATCTTTACCAAGAGATGAAGGTGAATGTCTGTCTCATTGATAGAGAATTACAGGAATACCTTAAGAAGTCAAGGGTAGACAAGGATTGGCGGATCCTCTGCTATGCTTTGTCCCCAGTCTTCTTGTTTTGTAGGTTCCAGGTTTATATATTGTTGCAGTGATTTGAAAGCTTCAATGTGGTGTAATCTTCTTAGGTGTTGAATGGCACAGCACAGAGTGATAGCCTAACCTCTTCTGTATCGCCAGGTGTGTGGTATGTGTGGCAACTTCAATGGACAAAGCACAGATGAGCTGCTGATGCCCAATGGTGTCATTGCACACAATGTAACAGAATTTGGGAATAGCTGGAAGTCCGAGGAAGACAGTAACGTAGGGTAAGCGTCAAAGCCTTAGACAATACGGAACAATACAGACTATTTGATCTGAGATTGTGATGAGAAATGTACTCACCTTTGTAAGTGGGGTGTAAGTGAAGCACAACATATTGAGGCAATGGATAGTCTATGTTTAAAAGTTAATATCCTTTACTTTTACCAGCTGTTTGGCAGATCAAAGAACAGATTTGAGTCTCTCTTGCCCTGTGGGAGAGAGAGCAGTTATCGATGCCCAATGCAAGGAACTGCTGTCCTCCAAGTACAAAGTTTGTCACCCGCTGGTTATCCCGGAGCTATTCATCAACAACTGCGTGCATGATATGTGCAAATTTGGTGGCATGCACTCGACCCTCTGTGATAACATTCAGAGTTACGTTGATGTCTGTAAGCAAGTAGGAGCGGTGATTTCATGGAGAAACAGCACTTTCTGCCGTAAGTAACTGAGGCACTGATTTACAGTCTGACCCTGTTATAAGGCAGCGCTTCGGGTCCGTAAAATTATCCCCTGCATTATTAATGGATCTGCAAAACTCAAAATGGCTGCTGGACCCACTTCTGAATTGTCAGGTCACTACTGGCGTCATTTCCAGCTTTGACTGGCCAACTTCCTGTACATGTGGAGGAAACTGGCCAGTCAGCGCTGGGAGAGTACCACCATCTGCAGTGCTAATAAAGTATGTGCAAGTGAAGCTGGCAACGACCTCTTGGCCAACTGCCGAGTCATCAGTGATCCCCCGACATCATTTCCGTTGGGTTGCATTGCAGTAGAAGCGTTAATACTAAATTTGCAATATGAAGATATGTGTTACAATGGGGTTGCACTGGATTCCACATTCCATAGGCCTTTGTTATTTCGTTGGCACTTATATATTACATTACATAGTATTCTAAAAGCCTCAGCACTCTTAACATAGAGTGACCGTATTTTGTAACCCAAATCCGGGGATATGTACACAAAAGAAACTGAACTCACCACAATTGCTGATGCTGGCACTTACTGGAGAAGCTTGTTGGATTAATGGCTTTGTTTCTCTGTTGTGCGCAATTGGCTGCTGCAGTTCTCCCCCAAAAATATAAGGTCAATTCACTTTACAGTTTATTCTGTGATGCGCTTTGAGACATCTCGAAGAGATGATAAGGTGCTGTATCAAATGCAAGGATTATTATTGTTATTATCTGTTTTAATATGTTATCGTTCTTGCTCAGTTTGTTGCTGAACTTAAAACAGGACAAATTTGGCCCCAGGGACACAATACCTCATCCAGGAAATTTTCTTTTTCTATTGCAGCTCTGGCTTGTCCCCCAAACAGTGTATACACGAGCTGCTCCCCAGCCTGCCCGCCCACGTGTGGGAACATCAATGTGACTGCCAGCTGCGACAGGCCTTCTGTCTGCGTGGAAGGGTGTGCATGCGAGCCCGGCTTTGTGCTGAGCGACGACCACTGTGTTCCAGTCAGCGACTGCGGCTGTCGTGATGGGAACAATGATTACCATAACGTAAGTGTGGCACCCAGCTTGCTCCTTTACTGGTGTAAACAATGCTGCATTTATGCTGGTGGGGCAACAGTGGAGTGGGAAACCTCATCTATACTCCCTGCTCCTACCAAGAGTATACACACTCACAATATTGGGGCTCTGTTTATTGACATTTCGCCCACAAAGTACACAGTCAATCCACGTCTTCTTCTCTAGCCCCCGCACCATCTTAGAGCTCTGTCCTTGGTTCCCTCCTCTTCAACATCTATATGGCTCCCTCTTGGTGACATCATTCACAGACATGGGGTCAACTTCCACATGTATGCAGATGACACCCAACTCTACCTCTCTGCCTCCCCGCTCGACTCCAGGACCCACTGCTGTCCTGAAAGAATGTCTGTCAGACATCAAGTCCTGGATGAGAGCTAATTTTCTTCAGTTGAACAAGACCGAGGCTCTCCTGGTTGGCTCCTGTCAGTGCCTCCTCACCTCAGGCACTGACAGCATCACCATCCATGGTTGCACACTCCACCTTGCTAAGCCAGTCCGGAATCTTGGCATTTTGTTTGACCCTCAACTATCCTTTCTACCCCACATCTGTGCCATGATCCACTCTGCCTTCCCCACCTCCGCAACATCACCTGACTCTGCCACTGTCTCACACCGCAGGCCGCCGAAACCCTCATACACACTTTCATTATATCGAGGCTTGACTATGCAAACTCCTTGTTTGTCGGCCTCCCCAACTCCTTCCTCCTATGGATCGTCCAGAACTCTGCAGCCCATGTCCTCTCCCGCACCAGACTCTGAGACCCTATCACCCCCATCCCCATCCCCATGGTTTTGCTCCCCACTGCGACCTCCTAACCCCCTACCGTCCTGCTCGCTCCCTCCGCTCAGCGGGCTCCAGCATACATCACATCCCCTGTCTAGGTAGGCCCACTATTGTCAGGCAGGCCTTCCGCCACTCTGCCCCCACCCTCTGGAACTCCATTCTGCAGTCCCTCCGCCTCGCCCCCTCCTTTGCTTCCTTCAAGACCCATCTCGAGACCCTCCTCTTCGACCGTGCTTTCGATCACCCTGTTTCCCCCCCTGCTCTCTACCCTCCCCAATCCCAACCTCCAGCTCGGGTCGAATCTCTGACTGTCTGACGTGAAAAGCGCTATACAAATCTAAGTTTGTTGTTGTTTACAGTATAGCCTGTGAAGTGCTTTGAGATGTCTTGATGATGTGATAAGGCACTGTATCAAATACAACAATCTTTTTTTTATTATTGTTATTATTAGACCCATACTTTGTAATCCTAGTATACCTCGATCTGAGTTTGGTACTTGATAAACTTTGAGTTGAGTTCAATCTGGGGATAAATATTGGTTTTACCTATGTATATATATTTAACCAGGCAACATTTTTTGTAACATTCTCTGGTTCTTATGGGTTTACGTGTATGCAGTTTTTAAATGCGAATGTTTGACTCTTTCAGATTGACGAGACATGGCTGACCCAGCACTGCGCCCAAACCTGCAGCTGTAAGAAAGGTGGAAAGGTGGAGTGTAAAGACTATGGCTGCAAAGCCAATGAGATCTGTGATCTCACTAAAAAGGGACAGTACAACTGCAAACCCAATGGTATGTACCGACTTGGCATACCAGTGTCCAGGCCTCATGCTAGTGCCCAGCCCTGACTGTGGGTGGCTCCACCAGTTACATTGCAGTGATTACATTAGCAAACTGTTCTATATTGGTATGTACACAAAACTATTGAGGTCCAACTGGAAACCTAATCTAATGCCGTGCCCCTGCCCTTTCTTCCAAAAACCTTCTATAGAATGGTAGGAATCAGGTTATAGAATAGAATCAGGTGTAGAATCAGGATTATTATTATATTGTGGAGGTGTTTCAGGAATTCACGGGAAGAGAATAAGCACTTACAGTGTTAAACATTCAGAAGCGCTGTAGGGCCGTAAGGAACAGTTCGAAGTTTCAGCACCTCTGGCTGTTGTGAAATCTAATCACAGAGGAATGCAGCACACATTTAAACCCAGCAGTGTTACACCTCATTTATGAGTTAACTCGGAAGGATTAACTTTTTTATGTCTGATGTAAAGGGACCACATTATGAAGACCTATGAGGTCTAATTTATGTTCCATTAATAGCTATTACTCATTCATGACTTTTTTATTTGTGAATTATCTAGTCAGCTCACTCATCAATTGTAAGATATACCCAATCGATTGTGGGTTCAAGCCCCACGCCGGGACATAGAATCACACAGTCTAAGCCAACGCTCAAGTGCAGTGCTGGGGGCGGGAGGGGGCTGACACATTGTCGGAGGTGCTGAACTTCAGATGAGACATTACACCGAGGGTCTGTCTGACTTAAGGTGGATGTTAAAGATCCCATGGCACTTTTCGAAAAGAGAAGGGAGTTCAAAACAAAATTGTTCACTCACTCCATGGCTGTTGATAGGACATTGCTGTACGCTGCCTGTGTTTTGCCTATAAAATACACAGTCAATCCAATTTACAGTAGATCCTGTGAAGCAGTTTGAGACATCTCGATGACTTGATAAGGCGTTATATTAAATGCAAGATTATTATAATGTATCCTCTGCACATGCAAAGTAAGTAAACTATACTATATAGGTATCTTCCAGCTATATATTACCTGCTTATTTTTAATTCTAGTTAATAATATAGATGTAGGAATGTAAAAGACTGAGAACATCTCCCAAAGTTAAATAATCTTTCACTATTCCTAGTTTGAGTATCCCTGAACTAGTTTCTTCTGCATTTAACTAATTCCCTCTTGAATTTTCTGGCATAATTTGCCTCCGCTGCCTTCTTAAGACATGTGAACCATGTCACCACTGTCTGCAAATCTTTTAATTTGAACTATGTGTTCACCTCCTCTTGCTGAGTCGGTCCGCACTGTTGGTGATGATCTAAAGTGACTTTCTGTTATACAGGATTTGTTAAGTGTGCCCTCTCTGGAGCCCTCTCCATGCCATTTGATGGGCTCGCTCACCAGTTCCAGGGCAAACGTACGTACGTTCTGGCGCAAACCTTTGACATTTCTGACCGATTGGAAGAGTTCAAGGTTGAAGTCAAGAATGTACCATGGAAGGGAAGCAGTGGCATCACGTACAAGAAAGAGATCATCATTGAAGTGTATAACCACACAGTTCAGCTCAAGCAGGGGAGGAAACTTGTGGTGAGTTTGTGAAACCTGCATTTAGCCTCATTCACATGTCGTGCAGAAGCTAAAACACGGATCTAACAAATCTCAGACATTTACAGAGATGCAGGGAAGCCCGATGGTGTGGTTGATAGACATGTAGCTTACAGAATGGGAGCTTGATGGTTCAAATTATTGTGCATGCTGAGTTTGCAAATCTTAACGGAAGCCGCATTGGGAGTGTTTTTGGGGGGCGGGGTGGGGGCAGGGGGTCAGCCGGGTATCCCACACATACAGAAACCCATCACTGTGCTTAAGAGTATCCACCCCAAAACTGAGAATTCCATGCATCCTACCTACACATGGAAATCCCAGCGATAGATTGCTGGGAATGCTCGCTCTCTCTCTCTCTCTCTCCCTGGAGGGACACATCTTGATTTCCTAATTCCAGAGAGTATTAGGTGGGGGTTGGCAAGAGCTGAGGCTTGGGGGAGCCCAGAGTGTGCGTTGGGGTAACTGCTGGAATCTAACCAGCTTTGCTATTGAGAGCGCTGTCTGGTAAGCTTCCCTGCTGCTTGTCCAGCTAGGACCACCCTACAGTCATTTGTGCACATTCTTAGCCCATAATTTCACCCACAAAAAAAAGTCAATTCACTTTACGGTATATTCTGTGAAGATGTGTCGTAGTCTTGATAAGGTGCTATATCAAATGCAAGGATTATTATTATAATTAACTTTGATTCTAGGTGGATGGTGAACTCGTTAAGTCTTATGTCCAGTTTCCTGATGGTCTCCACATTTACCAGAGAGCAGAGAGACTTTACCTGGAAACCAGCTTCGGTCTGTCTGTGAGCTTTGACGGGGACGAGAATTCAGGTACTACATTACGTTACTCATAGCTGGAAATGGAGCACATGAAATATTTTCACTGGCACAAGGTTAAAAGAGAATCTAATATAGGGAATTGAAAAGAAATAACACATAAAATATAGGGAAAGAGAGAAGGATTGGGATAAGAATAGAGCGTTCCGGTGGGGGAGCTAAGACCAGCACAGACAACATCAACAACAACAAATTACATTTTTTTAGCACCTTCACGTCGGGAGGGCATCTCAAGGTGCTGGACAGTCAGAGATTTGGACACAATGGGAAAAGAACAGGGGAATGGGATTAGAATAGAGAGATCCCAGTGTGAGAGTGAGCAGCAATTTAAGACAAATGGGCAAAACTTTTAAAGCAATGAATCAAACATCTTGTGAATTTGGGATTGAATTATAAATTGATGAGAAATGAAATGAGAAAATCGTAACTTATTGATCCACCAGCACTCCCACTAACCCAGGACATTATCAGAATTGTGTATATTTACTCTTCTCTCCAGACATCACTGTTCCTGTCACCTACAAGAACATGGTGGAAGGACTGTGTGGGACCTTTGATGGGAACAGCAGAAATGACTTTGTGAAAGCTGATGGTACAAGAGTGACGAATGTGAAAGAATTTGTTGAGAGTTGGGAGGTCGACAGAAATAGCCCTGTCCCCAGGGAACCTGGAACTGCAAGCAGGCGGAGGTAGGGTTTACATTTACTCTCTCACACCAACATCTGTGTGCAGGATAAGGTAGGGTAGGGCTGGTGACGTACATGTATAATAATATTGTAGTGTTTTTCTACTGGAGCTGAGTTCCATAAATTATCCTGACATTTTTTCCAAGAGACAAGTATTCATGTAATTTAGAGAGAGAGTGTTGGCAGTCATTTGACCATGTAGGGTGGGGGAGGGGGGGCCATAACATCAGGACCTGAGCTCATACATGAGGCATTCATCCACTGTAGCACAGAGGGAGCACTGTATTCTCAGTTAAGAGTTTAATCTTAGGCTTGCTTGTTTTTCTTAATCCTGTCCTCAATCGAACTCCACACCAGCTTGCAAAAGTGCAGCCATGTAGGCACTCGTCTCGCAAGCGAGAGGACCTGGGTTTGATTCCCGGGCAGGGTCAAAGTTTCCTTACTCCACACACCTGGGTTTACCTAGCAGTAAGTGGGAACCTGGTTGTTAGTTGATTGGCGGATTGCTTTCCAGGGGTAACAATCCCTTAAAAAAAATTGGGTCACTTGGTTGATTTTTCTTTGTAACCCAAAGGTACTAGAGTCAGTCATGCCTCAAATTGGTCGTTGACTGAGATCAACTAACTCAGAAAGTAACAAGGAGAAAACCTGATGGCTCACTTAGCACTGAATAAGCTTCAGTGCTGGGGGAGCATTGCATTACTGGAGGTGCTTAGGTTGAGACATTAAACTGAGTAATCGCAACAGCCAATCAGGTGGACGTTAACCATCGCTTGGCACCATCCGAAAAGAGAAGGCAGTGAGTCCCAGTGTCCTGGCCAAATAAAATTTGTCATCTACTTCATGGCTGTTTCTGGGATATTGCTGTGTGCCAAATGGCTGCCGCTTTTGACTACAAAATACACAGTCACTACACACTACAGTAAATCCTGAGATTTTTTGATGATGCAATAAGGTGCTATATCAAATGTGATTATTATTATATATTATTATATATATTATATATTATCAACTTGTATTCTGAAAACACTACATCCAAAGACAACCGCATTCTCTTCATAAAATTAAGATAAAATTCACAGGTGAGTAAAAATTATTCCATCACATATTTAGCTCTAACTATCTTCAGTAGATATATCTATGCAAATGTATTATTATTATAGTGTGAATAAATGGGGTATTAATACAGACTCATTTATACAGTGGATACAATATATCTTCCAATTGCCCTGGAGTAATTAGTGTTCTCAGTCGCACATAAAACGCTGATTATAATTACATACATCTCCATTTCTTCTTTATGCTGGGTAAGCCTGAACCCAGGTTTAGTAGAAAGATGATTTAATATGTCTTACTTTTTGTTGGAATGCAGGCGAGACGTTATGACAGATGAAGAGCTAGAAAATGTTAAACTAGTCACTGGGTCTGAATTGCAGTGCAGCGATGGCAACTTGAAGCTTCTAAGCAGCACAGACTACTGTGGAATCCTTTCTGATCCTCAAGGCCCATTCAGCAGCTGCCATCAATTCATCTCACCGTCGCAATATCAAATGTACGTATGTATATTGAACCAACGTATGATTACTTTTCACTCAGTCTGGCCCAGTGGGGTAGCAGCACTCTCAGGTTTGTGAGTCTGAGTCTCATATTAGGACCTGAGCTCAGAAATAAGGCTTTCACTCCAGTATAGCACAGAGGGAGCGCTATATTATAAGAACATAAGAAATAGGAGCATGAGTAGGCCATTCGGCACTTCGAGACCCGCCATTTGATAAGATCATGGCTGATTTTCTAACCTAATTCCATTTTCCCACATCCCTTAATCCCTTTAGTTTTTAAAAATCTATCGATCTCAGATTTCGGAGGTGCCAATCTTTTGGACATGATTTTAAACTAGGCTTGTTTATTCTTCTGGTGTATATTAAAAGATTTTTTGACCCTTAACTGTCCAGCGCCTTGGGACATTCTACCAATATGAAAGACACTATATAAATGTAATTTGTCGTTGTTGTTGATACTATTTGGAGCCAAGAATTCTCACAGTGCCTGACTGATATTGCTCCCACATCCAAATTCACCAGATGTCATGGTTTTACCATTGCTAGTCACTTAAGCCAAAGCATATTCTAAAAACCCTTGAACATAAGAAAAAAAATCCTCTCTTTGACTCCTACAGTGGCAATCCTGAGCTCACGCTCCCCTTGTTACCGATTAACCAACCAGCAAGAATAACAACAACAACTTGCATTTATATACTGCCCTTCACGCAGGATAGCATCCAGGAGCTGTTGATAAACTTTTAAACCATGTTTTGTAGGAGATGTTTGTTTGAAATGTGCGCTGTGTTTAACACCACCGAGAGCTTGTGCCCGAGCCTGGAACAGTACACCCTGCACTGTCAGGAACAAGCTGTGATCGTGGGAGATTGGCGGAAAAAGACTTCATGTGGTATGTACTTCTATATAGTGGTTGAAGTGAACTAATCTTTACAACCGAAAAGCCAGAAAGAGGATTTATTGCAAAGCTCTACTGATCTTAAAAATATATACTCTATGTTATTTGAAATAGAGATAAAATATTTCAGCTGAGTTAGTATTATTGGATTCATATCATGTTGCAGTATTGATACAGTATAATCAAGTCACACATTGATGGCTTAAAAAGAGGCATATTTTCACCACTTACAATACAATGTACATCTTACATGTCACAAGGACGTTCTCTAAGTGCTTCACTGTGTTTGTTTGACAAAGATTTTTCGAAAAGGTAAATAAATCCTGGTAAATCCTCCTGATGTGAAAGGCGCTATACAAAATGTAATTTGTAGTTATTGTTGTTTCTACTTTTTGGGGATTGTGACAAATTGTAAAACATGCAACTTTGCACAAAAAACAAGTTTTAATTTTTATTTTGGGATAACAAGAAACTCCCCAGAAACACCCCCCCAACACCACCGCTGCCACATTGTCACACAATGTTGTAAACTATTTATTCACAAAAAGTTTTGTGATTTCACCATCATGACTTCAGTGGTTCACTCATGCTGTGCCGTGTTTGGTCTGAATAAGCAGAGGTACAACAGTACAAGATACCAAAAAGGTTGACACACGGTGGCACTGTTAGATTAGTTTGACGTTTGTCAAGAGTAGAGCCAGGGAGCCACCGAGGAGATCAAACTGTCAAATGCCTTTTACCATAGAAAGTCATACAGATAGCAATCCTGTTGAAACACGCTTTGATACAGCCAAATCTCACATTGTCACAGTATTTGACATAATAAATAACTTCCTGTGTTATTGGCACTGACTGCGCTGTTAGAAAACGCTTGTACGTGTTTTAGCTCAAGATTAACCTTATTTTGTTACAATCCGTAGCAAAGACATGCCCGAAGAACAGCCAGTACAAAGCATGTACATCATCCTGCCCCGCTTCTTGTGCTGATCTAGCCGCCCCATCAGAGTGCGACGCTCCCTGTACTGAGGGCTGTGAATGCCTGCCCGGCTTTGTACTCAGTGACTTCAAGTGTGTACCTTTCAGAGAATGTGGATGTGTCCATCGGGGAAAATACTATGAGGTAAGTTTAGCTTAACACACGAGGTACTTGTTTTATTTCACGGTGATGACATAACCGGTTGCTTCTGTTTCGAACACTCGTGTACGTGATGTGATTGACGTGCCTGTTTTCTGACAGATTGGAGACAGATTCGTCACTGAGGACTGTTCTGAAGATTGCAGATGCATTGACACGGCGGCTGTACAGTGTAGCAAACTACACTGTGATCTCAGCACAACCTGCACCAATGCTAACTATACTCGCGGATGCTTCCGGGGTAAAAGCTTCTCTTATTCTTATCAGCAAATATGTCTTAACATGTTTTACCGTGAACCAAAATCCATGTTCCACTCTTTTGATACTACATACATCCAAGGCGGTAAAATTGTTCCTGAGATTGGATTTTGTTATTGTTGATCAGTTGGGTAAAGCTAGGGACTCTACTCACAAAAGAGCTGAGCATCAATGAGACTGCTGCTCAAAGCACAGAGATAGTTTGTATGAAGGTGTTTATATACTCCACTTCTGTTCCTGTGCAGCCGGTCCATGCCTCAATAACCCCTGTGCAAATGGTGGAACCTGTAAGCAGGTGACTGATGGAGCGAAGGGCTCGCAGAACTTCTTGTGCCAATGTCCGATGTCACACAATGGTCGCTATTGTGAGGAGGAAAGTTCACAGAATGGTAAGAAAGATTTGAAACCTCGTGGCCCCGGAGTGTTTTATCTCTTGCAGCTGTTGTGAGGGCGCGACTTAAAATCCATTGGGAAAGGATTTAATAAGATGGATGTGAATAGGGGAGACAAGGGTTAGGGACCCCGGAGTGTGCGTTGGGGTAACAAGCCATCTTCAGAGTTGGAAAGTAGAGGAAAAAAATCTTTCTGATTGGTACAATAGGCCAATAGTTTTCTATGAATATTAACTTCAGAGGTTTCAATTGCTAACGCATTTAGTACTGCTTTCTGACAGGACATTCAGATCATTCCAAAGGTTAGAGTAAATCCATTTTTGATATAAAAAGGCAACTTTCCCTTCAAAACTGCCGGAACAAATGCTCTGCTTTGTAAATAGATTCAGAAATACGGAAGGAATCCTTGTTTGGTGTGCTGTAAATGTGAAGACTAATTATTTCCTTGTTTCTCTTTTATCTCAGATAAGACCACGTTAATCACTGCGCTCTCAGTGTCAATTGGCATCATTGGCATTGTTGCATTGATCGCGCTGACCACGTGGACATCCCTCTACAGGTGACATTTCTCTAGCCACTTTGACAATTGAAACGGGCAAGTTGTCAGGGCTATGGGGTAAAAGCGGGGGAGTGCGACTGGTTGGGTTGCTCTTTCAAAGAGCCGGCAAAGGCACAATAGGCCGAATGGTCTCCTTCTGTGCTGTCAGATTCTATGAAATTGAGGACAGACATCAGGAAGTATTTCTTTACATAGAGAGACAATCCACAGATGGAACAGGTTACCAGGAAGTGTGAGAGACAAGAATACAGATAATAAGTTTGGTGGATGTTCTGCGAGTATCTCATCAAAAGGGCGAAGCATCCTCTTTACCCAAACTCAACAACAACTTGCACGTATATACCACCACTCATGCAGGTTAGCGTCCCAGAGCGCTTGACAGTGGTGAAGCATGACGCCAAGCCGGGGAAAGGGAGAAGTGACCAGAGGCACGGTCGAAAAGGAAGGTCTTCAGGCGCGATCTGAAAATGGGGAAGGAAGGGGCAAGACAGACGGATAGAGTGTTCCAGAGTTTCGGGGCGTAGTGGCTGAAAGTGCGGCCACCAACCACAACAATAACAACAAAATTACATTTGTATCGTGCCTTTCACTTCGGGAGGTGCAATGGTGGATTGGGGGGCATGAGGGACATGCAGAAGGTCGGAGACAGTAGAAACTCGCCTCTGATCTTAATTAGAATCACAAAGTCCTATTTTGAGAGCACAGCCATTGAACTACGAGGGTAGGGGAGCTTTTCCCTAACTTATGAACACAATCAGAGAGACGGCGGCAGTGTCTCCTCTCCTAAAGAGTAGTTTGAAACAATCTGCTTAACGAGAGTAAATTCTGATCGGAAATACAATGAATTATCAGTAAACAGTACTCTCAGCTCCGAGATCATTTTTAAATAAAAAAAACTGTTACATGGGTGGGAGCTACATTCTTTCCTCCCCCACCCCAGTCTCTCCCGATTAACACCCGCCACAACTGGCCAACTCTGGTTTGGGAGTGAATCACAGGCTTCCTCTTCCAAACATAGGCTGAAAACATGGGATACATTTCTGCGTTTTAATACAGTGAAGGTGCTGCCAGCACTGGTAATACCTACGCATGCATTTATATCGCGCCCTTCATAATCATGTAGTGTCTTTACAGTTTTGAAGTACTGTTCAGTCTTTGTGTTTGAAAGTCATTAAGAGCAATACGGTGCGGGTGAAACGCATGCGGTTTTCCCCTGTCAGAGGCCACGCTTGTTTACGGTTTCCAATAAGGCGAATGAACAGCGCGTGAGGGGAAAAGTATTTCCGGTCAGGAATGCTACAGTAGAATTGATCTAATTTATTCTTCTGCACTGGTGTATCCCATTAGTACTGAATCTGAAACCCTTTTGTTTATTGTTGCCACTCAGGAGAAGGAAAAGTCTCACGATTGGAGCCGCTGCTCACCTCCACCCGACAGAGCCCATCTCGGTAACAAACCCAGTTTTCCAAGACTGGGAGCACTGATCTAAACTCCTCCAGGAATCATACGTCTGCTGATCACTTTTATCACATTTTTCTACAGCCACTCTGAACAACCTTTTCTTTTGTGGTTTAAATATGCAAATCTGTATTTTGGTTAAATGTCAATTTTTTTTTTCTTTTCATGCTTCATTCTTGACCGATTGTTTTGTTGTTGTTTTGTTGATTGTTTCTTTCAAAATGGTGCTGAATTTCTTTTGAGAAATGAATAAATGAAGACCCTTCAATTCTGGCTGCCGATTCTCCCCGATTGTCTTGGAGTCTCCGAGAATAAAAGATTAATGCAATACAAAATTACATTTGTAAAGCGCCTGGGAGGACCTGCCAAGGTGCCCAACAGTCACAGATCAGGACCTGAGCGGAGGGTGGTTGGGTTATTGGGATCAGGGAGGGCAGAGAGGGTAGGAAGATGGCCGAAGAGGAGGGTCTTGAGTGTACCTTGAAGGAGGCAAGGGAGGGAGTGAGACGAAGGGAATGTGGGATGGAGTTCCAGAGAGTGGGGGCAGAGAGGCTGAAGGATTAATCTCGACACCACTGGGCGACCAGACAGAACTTATAGGGAATTCTCAAAATGAATATCAAACGCTTAATCAGATTTATTCTGTTATCAGATTGTCATTAGTTTCATACCCACCCGAAAACTACAATCCAGCCGGGGTTTGAAATGTTGAGGGGCCGTGCATTCGCCCTCTTCTCAACCATCTTATTGATCCAACTGGTGCTGCCACTTACATTATCTGACTACCATAAAGTCAGTGCTGTCTCACCGTACAACAGCAACCAAACATAACCCCCAAAACAACAGAACCGTTTGATTTTCTTGTAGCTCCGCAGTGAATTTGTTTTGCAGTAACTCAGTCCTTAACTGCATCACATCATCATCACACATAGGAACAGGAGGAGGCCATTCTATTAGATCATGGCTGATCTGCACCTCAACTCCAATTACCTGCCCTTGCCCCATATCCCTCGATATCCTGACCTAATAAAAATCTATCCACCTCAGTCTTCAAAAATTTAATGGTTTCAGGTTTAATCCACAGCCTTTTGGAGGAAGAGAGGGCGACCTCCTATTTCCAACGCCTCATAATTCTCTGATTCCAACGGGTCCACTCAGATGGGCTCAGTCTGCGATGGCTGCAGATGTCAGTGACATCTATGAAGCTATGAGTCACAATATAGCCCAGTGTGTGCCTGTCACAATGCAGACAGCAGCGACTGTCACAATGCCTGCGACCAGCTCGCACCCCCCACCCAGCACAGCACAGCCACCCAGCTGTGCCACCCATGAGTGGTTCCTCGTCCGTAGAGCCACGGATTTGCTTAAAAGAGTTAAGAGGTTCTGGGAGCCCCCACCTCCGCCATCGCTTCACCATGGCTTCTGTCCACACGTCTGTATATTCCTGCTCGGCTACTTCGGCTGTGTTTTTCTTGCTGTGTTGACTTTCTACATTATGCCCAGGGTATGTAGAAGCACTTGGCCGAGCCAGGCACACCCCACCGCCTCTTCCACACCAATTTGCGAGTGAGTGGCTGCCTCCTTTGCTAACCAAAGTCCAACACCCACTTTGCAAAACTTGAGCGAGTCGTGTGTGTGTGTGTGTGTGTGTGTGTGTGGATAAAACCAGGATGCATTCAACCAACACATACATACACACAAAATCTAAATCTAAATGATCTCAGCCACTGCTGGGATTGAGAAATACTGTATGAGACTTTGCTGTGTTAGGACCGCAATTTGTGTGTTGTGGTTGTCAATTTCATTTACCCGATTCACCCAAGGGGTGAGGGAGAAATTTCTCCCTGGATCTAGATTTACTCTTATTTACTTAGCATTTCATAGCGTGCAGAATTTAGCAAATTGGTAATTCATTTTTTTACAATTTACATTTATTTAGCACTTTTCCAGTCAGGAGGACATCTCAGAATGCTTTTCAGAATTGACTGGACATGAGGGGGGGGGGGGGGGGGGTTGGTGGAGAGGCGTGCAGTAAGGTGACTGAAAGCGTGGTGCAAAGGTAAGTCTTGAGGCGAGCTTTAAAGGTGGGGAGAGGACGAGCTGTGAGGACTGTGCGATAGAGATCCAGAGAGCCCCCACCAGGCTGCCTCTGACTTGTGATTTCTCTGATTGCTGCCGGTTAAATTTCTCTTAAAAATACAACAACAACTTGCATTTATATAGCTCCCCTCTCACAGGGCAGTGTCCCAGAGCACTTGACAGTAGTGGAGCGCGACACCCAGTAGTAACTGTACCTATACACATGCAGTTTGTACACAACAATAACTCAACACGATTGAATATAATTGACTGGGATCTGTTTGTACAGATTTACAAGAAATTAACGGATGGAGCTCGACGTTACAGTACATCTGATCCAAGTAAGTCCCAGGGCACTCTTCACACAGGCCAGTACCATGTTAGTATTGGTTAGAGAAGAGAACATAATGCTGGGATTGTGGAATGTCCATCCCCAATCCTCTCCATCTATCACAACAACCTCTATAGTTGGCCAATAAAACAAATGTTTCTTGATTGAATATTTCTTCGTTTATGGCATAAACCTATGTTATTTTAGTTATTTCTAATGATTCTTTTGTCGGCCAACCAAAATTGTAGTGCAGTGGTACGACCACTCGCCTCGCAAGTGAGAGGACCCGGGTTTGATTCCGGAGTGAGGCAAAACCTTATCCAAGTTTCCTTACTCTACACGCCTCTGTTCATCTCGCAGTAAGTAGGAACAATTGGCAGTTAGTCAACTGGCAATCGTTTTCCAGGCGGAATAATTCCTCCAGAAAAAAAAATTTGTGGTCACTCAATCCACGATTATTTGTGGGCCACTTATGTACGCAATTGGCTGCCGTATTTCACCCACAAAATACATAAGACACTTACAATAAATTCTGTGAAGCACTTTCAGATATCTTTCAACGACGTGATATGGCAAATGCAAGGATTATTATTATTAAAAAAGCTAATACTTGGTGGAAGCATGTCATTTACATTGGTTTACCATTTATGGAGTTCAGACTATCCCTGCATTAATCTCCAGATTTTAGACCCTGTTGTGTGGGTAGAGGGAGCTGTAACTGGACTTGATATAATAATAATAATAATCCTTGCATTTGATATAGCGCTTTTCACGTCGGGAGGACGTCCCAAAGCGCTTCACAGAACATACTGCAAAGTGAATTGACTGTATATTTGTGGGCGAACGCGGCAGCCAATTGCGCACAGCAATGTCCCACAAACAGTCGTAGATTGAAAATGACCAATTAATTATTGTTTTTGGTTTTTGAAGGGATTATTATTAGGCTCTGTGTGGAGTAAGGAAACTTGCCCAAGGTTTCGCCCTCTGCCTGGAAATGAACTCAGGTCTCTCACTTGCAAAGGGAGTGCTCTAACCACTGAGCTACAGGACTCCACGTTGATGAACCTTGACCAGCTGGGAAGCAGCACAGTGACAGATATTCCATCACTCCTTTCACTAACCTGTCTATGACAGCTTTTCGCTAAAGATTTTTTTCCAAAGTAAATGAAGAACTGTCCTGATTGAGGAAGCTCCCATGTTATGAGGGAAATGCGTACAGGAAACATGGAAACAACATTTCCTCCCAGTACCCCTCGCTCTGACATCGCAAACCTGCTGAAATCTGGTGACCTCTACTGCACTGTGGGCTTGTGTTTGGTAGCACCATAGAGATTACAGTAAAAAAAGGCCATTTAGCCCTCATGTCTGTCCTGGTGCTCGCTCCCGACTGGAGCTCTCTACTCTAATTCCGTTAGGACAAATCCTCCCTCATGAAAATTAAATCCATACTCATGGAAAATTCACTCCGAACCAGTTACACAAACCAAATACACAGTTCTAAAGAGAAACATGGCTTTTTAAAAAAAATTCCAATTCAATAAAATCATCATTGTCCCTGCAGATAACAAACCCGGGACTTTCCTCTCTGCCATGCTGGAGCGCATATATCTAATGTCCAGGCGATGAAAAATATTAAAGCCTCTTCTTAAAGGTCCTAAATGATGCAAATCACTGAACTGTTTGAACAGATTTACCACAGCATCCCAAATTTGTTTTCCTCCCACAGTTTCAGCTTGTATTGTTCAACACCATCGATTTCATTCTTATTCTGACATTATGACAGTTATTTAATAATCATTCATCTTCCCCCACTCCCACCATCACTTACCACTGCTGCCCCAGGAGACGCTGCTTCTGCTATCACAGTTGTTTCCTGCTCAATAATATCAATGTCTGATGTTTCATCTATAAATCAGAAAACTTGTTAAAAGTGCAATTTGCAACAAAAAGAGATTTGTAATAATAATCCTTGCTTTTGATATAGCGACTTATCACGTCATTGATACGTCTCAGAGCACTTCACAGAATATACTGTAAAGTGAATTAACTGTACACTTTGTGGGCGAAACATGTAGATCCGAAGCAGCGTGACACAGAAACCGCTCTCACACTGACTTTACTTTCTTTCTCAGCCAACGAGAGGTTGCGTCCCTGTACCCAGCACTTACAGCAATGCTTGTGGGACACGGAAAACAGGGACTCGACCAAGGGCTGTGAAGAGATAAAGAGCCATCGCTCCTGCTCCCAGGAACCCATGCCAAACGCTTCACAGAGGAACAACAGACGCAAGAAAGCCACCCCTAGTGGACACTGTAAGAAACAGCGAGCACGCTACCTGGAGCCGGACGAGCACGAAATCCTCTCCCACTTGTACTGCAACTATGATCCCTGCAAGTTCACCAAGACGGAATGGACCATAAATTTACAGGGATATTCGCCTGAGGAGAAGAGGCAAAAGAGCCGCAGAAATTCCCGCGTGGGTTTCAGTTAGTTATCGGTGTCGTCGTGGTCGGAACAAAGCAGGAAGAGATTAAAGAGAAAAAAAAGTCTCCAAAATTCTGGATCTTTTTAAGAGAGAGAGAGCCCCCTTTCTCTCGCTCACTCGCAAGAGAGAGAGAGAAAGAGTGGGGTATTTTATTTGCTATAGATTCTGAAATTCAGGTCTCTGAGGATTGCACAAGGATTGGAATACGAACACACTTAAACAATTCAGACCATAACTTAGCTAAATAAGATATCATCTGGAAACTACCCAAAATAACTTTATTTCTACCTGATTGAAACATTAAATACCTTTGCACAACGTCTGTGTGTATTTTCTCCTGTCAAGATAATAATAATATAATAATAATAATCTTTGCAT